TCTGCTATCTCACCTGCCTGCTGCTTCATGTCAGTGTGTGTGACGAACAGCCGTTGTCAGATTAATTTTGCAGATTTATACAGTATCTTAGCCATTTCATCTACTTATTCCTCCTGCACTCACTTATTTGATAATTACTTGCATAATTCCTGCAAACCAAAAGAGGCACATGTATTATTCCTGCAAACTAAAAGAGGCGACTAAGTGTGGACCCCCTGCTGTGACTGTTAGATCCATCGCAGTGAGAGGCGTCTAATGAGACATTCCGTAGCATATTGGAGATTTTTTTTACATTTACCGGGCCATATTTCCACATGCACATGTTCCACGTTTTTGATATCTCTCGTTGACTCACTTTATATGATAGTGCATCTTGCGCAAGAATAGGCCCTCTTCATCAGCGTTCCTTGTCCGCGATGCTCTCAGCTTACTTGCTGCCTTCGGCTGTCTTTAGCCGAGGGGACTATTGGTTTTATATAATAGCTATATTTTCAATTATAGTATATCAATTCTATCTTCTTGTAATATGATGCATATGTACATGTAACTGTTCTGTTTCACTGTGTCTTGAAAAAAGAGCGGATCGCTCCGAGAATTTGACAACCTAAACTTGTCCACACTGTTGGAATTACTTCTTTGCCCCATATATATATATAAACTTTATTTATTTTACAAGAGTTATTTCAATTTATATTAATATCAAAAAATATACCTTATTAACAACTCGTGTAGAACTTTTTAATAGTTTGATGTTTAATAGTGTCTTTTCTATAACCGTTAACAGTGGTCCTGAAATGGATATTGTCACGGAAAATAACGTCAGTTTAGTTTTATTATGTATTTCAGATAAATATCTTCGCATACAGATTTAGTCACCCAATGTGAACAGGCTGCCAAAAAACTTTAGAAATTGCGTTTAGTATTTTATTAGTTAAATAACGGAAGATACGAAAGTAAGATTTATTATAAATAATTGTCTGACAACCTGTATCGGCCTTGATTTCGGTGAACAGGAAAACTTTCATCACGTAGGGTTTTCATAAGTAATATAAGCGTTAAGCTATATTCATTTGTCGGTTAACGGTAAATTGTTGTTCCTATTCTATAATGTTCAACTTGTGCGTATTTATGTAATAGCCAGACTCAGTGTAATGTAGATTACATCACAGGCCATGGCCAGCTCATTTTATTTTGGTGATAACTTTTGAGTTACTGTATAATTTATTCACGCTACCAAGTATTTGACTTGTATTGATCAGCGGTCAGAAGTACCGTTCTATTGTACATAATTTCACTTTGATTTCTATTGTTTCTTTATCATCCATAATGAATAAATCCAATGCATCCGAACTACGTTGTTAAGTTATTTTAACAGAAATCTAGCACAAACGGGCAGTCGAGAACACGTCCAAATATTTCATAACATATGGTGTTTATCGGGAATCGTGCTATATGGAGATGCCGTCATGGTCAGCACCTGACTGCCGAACTAGAAGTCAAAGACTTAAGCCCCGTCATGCCATGCCTACCTGCCGGGATAGCGCCAAACTTGTCTTACATAAAATGTGAAATAATCTTACTAGACAAAAATTAATTTGGCAAATGTAAACTCAGTTTGGCTACTACCCCCATCCGTGGTGGTACGGAACGACTGGTAGGCTATATAGCAACGCGCTGCTGAAAAGAGCTGCCTGAAACCGGTACCTGGACTGACAGCAGCCTCCTCCTAACCTCCAGAATATCATATTTGTATCCAAAACAACGAACATGTAAACTTCGATCACTTGTTCGAATGGGTAACTCTCGAGATAATCCGAAAGAAAATCCCAGGCGCATTCGCGTTGCAAAATTCAATCATGCGTAGATCACATTCATGATTGTCTGCTCAACTTGAAATTAACGAACATCCGGAATGAATATTCTATCCAAGTATAATTTTGAATAAGTAGAATTCAGAAAATGGGATATAGTATAGTTTTAAAAGTGTTTTAACACAATGAACAAACAAATAAATGTAAATTAAAGGATTCTATTCAAAATTCCTATCTTTTTATTCGCTTTACCGAAGGAAAGCTAACAACGTTATAGCTTGCGATGCTGTGATCGATTTTACCAGTTGGAAAAACCAGAAACCAAGGTTTCAAAAAGAAATAGGCCTAACAAAGACGACATTTTTCGTACATGTGCAGAGAGTGTGATATAATTAGGTAGGCGTAAAACACCAGAGTATCGAGGATGCGAAATTGGCGCTAGAATGTTCGGCTGCAATTTAATCAATTTAAACAACACACGCGTTCCTGCCAGCCCACACAGCGGTTCTGGATTACATACAACCTCATGTATCATCATAGAGAGAAATACCGACCTTGTATATTATAGTCTGAAAACTATATACATTTGTATCTGTATCGATATCACTAAATTAAAGTACATGTAGGAGTCACCGCGAGAATGCTCACACTATCAAACCAATATTGCAATGTCGATTTAAGCAGAGACGTATTATGTGTCTCTGATTGAAGTTATAAATATGATATTTTTTTCTCTGTAATTACAATATTTTTGAAACTGCTATTAGAAGTTCCGTTCGTTACTTTAAATTCGTTATAAAGATCTTGGCTTCTGTAAACAGGCAGTCCAAACACGTCTGGGCTGTTGTGACGTCACAGTTGATAGTGCCCGTTGTTTTATATTTTTCACACTAAACCCTTCACTCTGATTGATTGTTTTTGTCTGAAAATATTATAAAGTGTAATTTGTTACAGTAGAAAAATCAATTTCATTTTTAGTGCAAAAAGTTGAGAAATGTTGGAATTTCAACTAACACAATATCTGCAACACTTGAATGTAACTTCGACAGATTTAAGTACTCAACTCAAGTTTACCAGATTCTCTTAATTAAAAGGTCATTCAAAACTTGACCAAAATGTTTGCAGATGATACAAAGATATATCGTACAATGGATCAGGAGGTCAGGGGCAACATCTTCAAGAAGATTTACACCGTTTAAATAACTGGACGAGAACATGGATGATGGAGCTAAACTCAGATAAGTTTAAACACCTAAAATTACATCAAGGAGCTGTAAAATGTGATTCATCATACAGCATCATCAAACAGGGGGTAGTACACAAACTACAATCTGTAAATAGTGAAAGGGATCTAGGTGTGACTATTGACACTAATCTAAAGTTTAGTGAACATGTAAACCTGTCAGTGGCCAAAGCAAACAGAAATGTAGGAATGATTTTTAGGACCTTTAGCTGTGTAAACAAGGAAATGTTCATAACCCTATATAAGTCTCTTGTAAGACCATACTTAGAGACCTCTGTTGTAGTCTGGGCACCCATGCTTATAAAGGATAAATTATCTATTGAAAACGTCCAAAGGAGAGCCACATAACTTGTCCCTGGTATCAAAGACCTATCCTATCCTGAAAGACTTAAGGCTCTTGGGCCACCCACAATGGAGTACAGGAGACTCAGGTCAGACATGGTGCAAACTTTTAAAATAATAAATAGGATAGATAACATCAAAGACGACTTTCTAAAGATCAATGTAACAAGAACAACCAGAGGCCACAATCAGAAACTAGAAAAACCAAGGCGTAACCACTCGTTCAAATTAAGAATTATAAACAACTGGAATGGTCTCTCTAATCAAGTGGTAAATGCCCCATCTCTGTTTTCCTTTAAGACCAGGTTAATAAACACTGGATAAATCACCCCAACAAGTTTGAACCAAGTTTTTTCTAACTAGCTGGGGTAACACATACAGGCTTCTCAAATGTCTAATTTAAATTCAGTATTTTTTAACCTATGAAACCCTTTAATATCTATACTTCCTAGTATAGCCCATTGACAGTTAACCACAATGTGTGTATCCATACTAAATAGTAAAACAACTCTCTATTATTTTTTTGAAACTTGTGATCTATACAGGCAGGGTCAGTCCTTCTTTTATAACTGAATACCCTTATTTTATATAAATCAGGATGCAACTTTTGTTACCATGTACATAATTTTCACTAGTTTTTGAGAAATAAAGTCCTCTTCAAATGCCTCCAAATGCAACCGGAAGTGAAGTGGATAGTATATGAAGCATCTCAAAAAGCGAATAGATCGACGCTTACAACGGTGTCACCTGCAATGAACCAATATGTACGTCTCTGTCATGATTTAGTGATTGTTTCATTTCTGATCATTATTTTGTGATTGTTTTATTTCTCATCATGATTTCGTGGTTGTTCTACTTTTTATGCATTCATGCGTAAAAAACGTAATCACAAACATCACTGAACCAGAGACGTCTCTGACTGAACACAGATAAAGCTTTCATAATATTTAAAAAAAAAAAAAGAGCAGTAAGAAGAGGTAACACTAAATTAATCTAAACAATAATGAAATCGATTGTACATAACAAATCTTAAAATATTCGTCTGTGCGACGGACATCTCTTCAACTAAGTTGATTGATCTCGGGTCTGTTGGTTGTTATTTAGAGTAAATGCTAGTTCATACAATTTGAAAATATCATATCTGAACACTAACTTCAGTTTTATGGTTGACTAAGCCATAAATGCAAGGAAATGCATTGTGATCCAACGCTCAGCCTATATTGTGCTTAAGTCTACCAAACACATTACTTCTACACTTCACATTCTTGTTTATTGTCATTGATGCTAATGATGTAGCCGCCATCATACACACGTCAATACATGCAACGTATATTGTATATATTCTTTCAATCATAATAATATTTGGAAATAAAGTAGTTTACATTCTATTGTATTCTTTGTTATGCTTGGCAAATTTTCCGTGTGTTAATCAACGTCCAGTCAATTGTAAATACTAAATTTACCAATATCTGTCATTGTATTGCTTGATTGCATTTTAACGTCACTATTATTAGTAGGCCTATATTTCGCAACATTATTTCGCAATACGATTGCGCCTTATAGTGTCGGAAGTCCTCGGGAATTATTCATTCCTTTACACAGTAACCAACTTGTTTACAAATGGCTGTGGAACGGTGCCTTTCGATTGACATTTTATTGGGTAAGTTCAGTATGTATACAACACCGATGCACGAAGTGAATAACATAACGTACAGTTACAGATGTAACGTAGCAGCACCCTTCCAGTTACTTCCATGATTTCTAGAAATTAACTCAAGTGGGGATTGATTACTAAACGATACTCATCCTCTTCTTCCTCATGATCATCTTCTCCTTTTCCCCTCTTCCATCATGTGTAATGGAAGGCCGAATTCATGTCATTGTATTTTTCTCTGGACATAAGTTCTGAAATGATCTCACTTACCTATTTGACAGTCTTCTTGTTGTCAGAGTTGTTTTGATTAAAAAAATGTAGATAGGCCACTCTACCAATGGAGTTACCTGGTCGCCAATGATCAACCCAGTCCAGTTCTGCTACACTTTCTAAAATAGGAGATGGATACAGTCTACTACAGTAGTTATTTTGGACCAAATGGTAGTTCTCATTCCAGATGGCTCAATCCTTTTGTAGTGAAGCTTGTAGCCTATTTCTGGACTCTTTCCATCATCTCGATGCATTATACCTTATAGGCTCTATTTAAATGGTTAAACAGTTTACAGTTGTACTACCTCAGTGTACATGTGCCTCTACCATTATGGGAAAAACTACATCATGTAGATATGTTACAGTTGTAATAATTTATATCATAAATTCATAGTTTCAGTTAATTAATTCAGTATATTTCATTATTCGCTGACTTGCAAGATTTCTTGCATATTAGAAACATGACATGTAGTTGTAACAGGAAAGAACCAGGGATCGAACCCTGTCTCCAGGTTCCTAGTCGGATACCCTACCACGGAGCTGAAGGAAAATTCCCTCTAGCTCGAATGTAGAAGGCGCCCTTACTCCTATTTACAATTAAAACCAGCCACACTATGTATACTCCCCCCTTTTAAAATGTGTTCGCCCTTGAACACCACAACCCAGGTTCTAACTCCCTGTCACCACAGGGAGGGCCACAGACACCATTTGCAACAGGAAAGAGAATACTCATAGTGTGCTTCCACCAAAGATTCTTGATCTCCAGGTTCCTAGTGCGACGCTCTACCACTGAGCTAAAGGGAAATTCCCTCTAGCTGGAAGCTAGAAGGTGACCGTAATCCTATTTAAAATTTAAACCTGTCACAAAGGTATGGATGTCATCATGACTGAGTGAAACTATACCAATTCAGAGTTGGATCACATTTAGATCTACGTACTAAAAGATCTGAGTCACTTTTTTTCCTACAATTTGATTTCTTTCTGATTTGGAATGGAAAGAAACATGCTTTTGGCATGTGTCCATGTAATACATTACTTTCCTTATTTATTCACATAGATAAACAAGGTTTCCAATCCATTATAAACTTTGTTATTTCAAAGATCAAAATGAAACTTTTTGAAGCTGTAGTACTAATAGGAAAGGGCATAGAAGATACGTTCGGTCATTCCATCAAAATCAACATCATTTACAGTCAATTCTTAGACAATGTAAATCACATATAAAATACAAATAAAAATTAAATCATGGAGTCTTAAATTTATTTCATATAATGTGCTGAAATCAGTTACTACCTGGTATACCCAGTTATGTGTAAACATAAACTACATGTACATATGATTTTAACAATTAAGTAAATAAACTTTTATTGAAGAGTTGTACATGGTATCTTGTACTATTCACAGTACTCTAGATCTGTAAGCTTGTACATTTTATATACAACCTAAGGATTTTTTTCATTGTACCTGTGTACCGTTTATTTATTTATTTGCTGCTCTACATCAAATCAGAAATGGAGGAGGCCATATAAGTAATACAGTTCTTAAATCAAGCACACATTACTTATGAGTTGTAATGGCCGCCTCTAAACAAGTGGACGCTACAGACCAGCAGGAGACACCCCTACCCCTGGGCTGGCAAAAGGCTAAAGCTGTCACGCCCGACCGTAGGGCTCAGTTCTACTATGTCAGTCACAATGACTGCTATACTACTTGGAGTGATCCCAGGATTTGTAAGTATCCTTTTAAGTCCCCCACCAGGTACCGGAGGGGACTGTAGTTTTGCGTCATGCCCTTCCATCCTTCCTTCCGTCCTTCCGCTATCTTGTCTGGGCTCTATCTCCTACACTAATAGTTACTGGAACTTCTTGCTTGGGGCATGGGTTCACTTGCCACCAGATGCAATTTAATAGTATAACGGTACCACTAACCAGTAAACATCCACCAGATTTATTTGCAATAGAAGCACTGACACTATTCCTTATTGAATACGGTGGGTCTGTCAAACATTGATAAACAGAATTAGTCCCTGCACAAATTTATCATCTGTGCATTTCACATTCGGTGGGGGACTATAATTTGCCAAATTGTCTTGTTATTATTCAAAAATATGCCTTAATGTTTGCATTATAAAATTTCTTATGAAAAAATTATTTATCATTATCACTTTACATGAATTAGTTTTGTAACCCATCAATTTGGACAGTTTTTGACTGTTAAAATTTAATAATTGAAATAAATACCATATTCAAAATACGTTTTTAAAGTGGACTTGCTCAGTTTTTAAGATTAGTAAGGTTCTAATGTGGCTTTAGGGTTTAATGGGTTTAAAGAGCATGCATTTCTATTCAAAACCTTACCTTTTACACTAAAGCTAGGTAAAGTGCTCTAATATCATTATAAGACCTATAGTTTAATTAATTCCTTGAACAAATGAAATACACAAGGAATAAATGCATTGGCCAAAAAAATGTATTTATCAGATATGTTCAAATGTGCTCAAATGTGTGACTGACATATTTTCAAGGCCACACATTTTCAATCATATTCAAATTCTATAGAACCATGAGGCCGTAAATTCATTGATGATCTGTAGCTTGTGGCTTGCTGGAGTCAAACTACTAGTTTTGTTCAGTAAATCACTTTGACGGTCATAGAAGTCAAAAGTGTTAATACACATATGAATTAAATATATCAACTCTTGTAAAGAACCATGAGGCCCTAAAGAGCCACTGCATTTAGCCTGTAGCTTGCTGATGTGAATGAATAACAGATATAAGAGAAATGACATGGATTCATTTTCAAAGCCACAGCTACATGCAGATGTCGTAATTGTGATATTCTTTGTCTTCTTTAGAACTATTGGGCTCGAGATCATAATTTAAGGCATGTTGCTTAAATGATGTAATGATAGGTTTTTTGTACATGTATTATTATAACAAACTCTATAACCTTTGAATGTGTTGAAAAATTGAGTAACGGTAGCCTATTCAGAACTATGAAGCCAATAGTCATGATATTTAAGCCTGTAACTGGCTAAATTTAATCATTTCATCATTAAATGTATTTGGCTAACCCTATTAAATAACAGACAAGTACAACAGGCCCCTTGGGTTTACATTTTTAATTGAGTAGTAATGAGGCTATTTGTTGTTACAGATGACTCAGAACCAGTCCAGCAAGGTTTGTTTCTATATCTTTACCATTTTGTCAATCATGTCAAACTGAACTGTAAACCTTTTCCGATTCTGTGATATTAGAAAGTTAAATACTATAAGAACACGTTTGTGAACCACTCTTACATGCAATCATAATTTATTGATTTATGGCGTTTTATGGATTTGGACACACTGTGGCCCTCTCAGTATCTATAATTATAATCATGAACATTTTGAGTTTGAAAGTCAGAAAGTCTGATAAACATCATTACATCATTATATTGTAGTTAATGGACAGTAAACATTTGTCACAATTGGTACATGATAGGTGTATGACATACAGCTACATGGCAATGATGTTCAAGATACATTTTGTATAATTTGTTTACAGAGCAGTCTGTACTGGAATACATAATAAGAGCGTATGACTTTCTCAATGCTAAACGTGGTGACAGGGACCGTCAGCGCCAAGAATTTGAGAATAACTGCAGGCATTGTACTCAAGTGGGGAATGAGGAAAACCTTCGAGCTTGTCTTAACGCCTTGCAGGAACAGATTTGTGTCAAGAATTTCCTTCCACCACATTCAGTACCGGGAGAGATGGTTGCCAATACGTTTAAACAACTTAAAAGGGTGATACAGTAAGTTCTTTGATCATGACCAAGTTATCATGTTGATTTAGATTATAATTAATAAAACAAGAGGCCCATAGGGCCTGTATCGCTCACCTGGATATCTAAGCAATCATGGCAGAATATTCTCCAAATGAGATCCATGGGAATATGCCAGACCCCAAGGCCAATCCTTGTAGCATATATATCTGTATTCGATTTTTCATGCCCAGCAATTTTATGTATGGTTATGAGGTGGGGATCTCAACTGTTTCCAATCTGTAACTCAGAAACTAGGTCCCTATGGTTGTGGCCAGACCCCAGGATCAATTCTAATATCATGACTGCATTTGTCTCTTTTTGCCCAGCATTTGTATATATAGTTTTGGGGTGGGGATCTCAACCGTTTCAAAGTTATGACCCAGGGGTTAAGTCTGCAAGGGTGGGGCAAACCCTGGGGTCAATTCTAATATCATGACTGCATTTGTCTCTTTATGCCCAACAATTGTATATATAGTTTTGGGGTGGGGATCTTAACCATTTCGAAGTTATGACCCAGGGGTTAAGTCTCCAAGGGTGGGGCAGTCCCCAAGGCCATCCTGGAAGCATATGTGCATTCATCTCTTTATACTCAGCAATTGTCTATATGGTTATAGGTCGGGGATCTCAACTGTTTCCAAGCTGTGACTAAGAAACTAGGTCCCTAGGGGTTCGGTCAGACCCCAGGGTCTATTCTAATATCATGACTGCATTCGTCTCTTTATGCCCAGCATTTGTATATATAGTTTTGGGGTGGGGATCTCAACCGTTTTTAAGTTATGGCCCAAGGACTATGTTTCCAAGGGTGGGGCCAGACCCTAGGGCCATCCCGGAAGCAAATGTGCATTCTTCTCTTTATACTCAGCAATTGTATATGTGGTTATATGGTGGGGATCTCAACCATTTCCAGGCAATAAACTTTTTTTGGCCCCACCCCTTAGCCTGGGGGGTCAGCCCCACCATTTGTACAATTTTGAATCCCTGCCTCCTATGAATGCTTCCGACCAAATATGATCGATATCCAGTGCATAGTTCTACAGAAGAAGTCGTTTATAGCAATCTAGCCAAATTGCCCCCTTTTGGCCCCGCCCTCAGCCCTCTGGGGGTCAGCCCCACCATTTGTACAATTTTGAATCCCCACCACCTAGGGATGCTTCCAGTCTAATATGGTTGATATCCATCACTTAGTTCCAGAGAAGAAGTCGCTTAAAGCAATATAGCCAAATAACCCTTTTTGGCCCCGCCCCTCAGCCCCCTGGGGGGTCAGCTCCACCATTTGTACAATTTTGAATCCCCACCACCTAGGGATGCTTCCAGTCAAATTTAGTTAAATTCCAATCAGTGGTTAAGAAGAATAAGGTGTTTAAAGAATTTTTTGACAGACGGACGACGGACGCCACAGTATGGCATAAGCTCACCTTGGTCCTTTGGACCAGGTGAGCTAATAAATATATTTTTGTTAATTTTTGTACATAAATACTGATAGCGAATTGAAATATTTTTGCTAGTTTTTATTTTGACTCCATTAACCATAGAGTATGTAGGCCTACTGGCCTAGTGATTGTTGTTTCATACAATTTCAAATTTTTAGAAATATGTAAATGGGTGATTTATTGTGAATCTCAACCCTTGGGAAACGATTCTTGAGTCACCAAAGCATGTTCCAGTCTACTCACCTGTAAATGAGTACTTGGTTGGGCAGTGCTGGAATTGTTATTTGCTAACTGTGAGCACCTAAATGGCTGCACCGGCTGTATGCTTCCCAGGGAGTTGAGAAAGATATTGGCTGGTTGCAAAGGCCCTATAACCACTGATAATAAGTTGTGAACTGCTCCGAGACGACCTACAAACTAGGTTGTGATAAAGCGGTACAAACATGAGGCTTACTTAAGTCATTGTGAATCTCAACCCTTTGGGAAAGATTCTGAAATCACCAAACATGAGTCTAATACCTAAGAATCTCACCCTTGGGTTAAGATTTCCTTTCTCATTCCCAAATTGTTAATCTTCACCACTAATGCTTAAAACATAGTAAAAATGGATGATGATAATGACTTATTCTTCATGACTACTTACAGAGTGTGTATACGAGAGGGACGGGTCACACAGGAAACCTGTCAGGACTTGTTGTTCGAATTCCTCCTGAGTTTGTTACGGTACGGACCGGGATCGTCTACTTCTTGCTTCATTGATGAAATATTGATCAGAACAGAAGACATGCAGGAGTACTTGCAGGTAGACAAATACCAGTCTTCTACCAAACGTCACATAATATATAAATACTGGAGCTAACTTGAATGACCTTTTATATGATATTTACATACTTGCCAACTCTCCCTATTTAGGTGGGAGACTTCTGATTTGTGGACCCTGAAAGGACTTTGGATGTTATGGGTAATTTTTGGCCTCATAAAAAGTAAAAATTTCAACTTGTATTTATTTACCAATTTTTGTTCAAAACATCATATTGGTAAATTGGGGCTATCTAACATGCTGCAGATGCGCATGCGTAGTTGCCCTACGCTACCATAGCAACAAAGCTGTGTTGCTGTGCAGAAATAGCCAAAATATGGTGTTTTTGGACAGTTGGCATGCAGAAATGAAAGCCTTCGGATGTGACAAACAAAAATGCCTTTCAACGAATGAACACTGGTATGAAAATGTTAAAGCATATCAAATATTTATTTGTTTGTTGCATGTGGAGGCTTTCAAATATTTAAAAGTGTTTGGGTAATTTCCTTCAAAATGGCCAATTTTCAACCCAAAGCATGCACAACAGACCATATTCACGCATTCTATTGTGAAAATACGGATTTATGTCTCTTTTTGTAATGCTATGTCTCCTAAACCAGTTGTCGAATGTATTTGAAATTTCATATTTGCATACTTTATTTATTCCAGGTTACGAATATAACAAATAATTCTAATTCCATGATGAGGCCGGAATTAACCCTTAATGCCCTTAGTCCTTTAGTATTTTCAACCACTGAATTTACTTAAGGTATTCCTATATTCTAAGATCTAATGATTTCCTCTGAAAGAACATTTCAATTTTAGATAAGATTACATTATTAACTCACCTACCCGAATGGCAAGCGAGCTTATGTCATGGTGAGGCGGTCGTCGTCCGTCCGTCCGTCGTTCATCCGTCAACTTTTCCTTTAAACAACTTCTTCTGAAGAACGAACAGGCGTAGAGCCATGATATTTGACTGAAAGCTTTCTTGGATAGAGCCTGACAAAGTTTGAGAATGAAAATGAGTTTGACCTCCTTTCAAGGTCACAGCAGTCAAATATGTCAAATACTTCAAACAACTTCTCTTGAAGAACTAAAAGGTACATTATCTTCAAAATTGGCTTGTGGCTTCCTTGGAAAGAGCCCAACAAAGTTTGAGAATGAAATGACCTTAACCTACTTTCAAGCTCACAGTGGTCAAATATGTTGAACCCTTTTAACGACTTCTTCTGAAGAACCAAAAGGTATAGAATCTTTATATTTGGCTGGTGGATTCCTGGGTAGAGCCTGACAAAGTTATTTCTGAAGAACTAAAGGTATATAATCTTCAAAATTGGCTGGTGGCTTACCTGGATAGAGCCTGACAAAGTTTGAGAATGAAAATGAGTTGACCTGCTTTCAAGGTCACTGGAGTCAAATATGTCAAATGCTTAAAACGACTTTTGATGAAGAACTAAAAGGTATAGAACCTTCATATTTGGCTGGTGGCTTCCTGAGATAGAGCCTAACAAAGTTTGAGAATGAAAATGACCTTAACCTACTTTCAAGGTCACAGTGGTCAAATATGTCAAACTTTTTAAATGATTTCTTCTGAAGAACTAAAAGGTGTGGAACCTTCATATTTGCCTTGTGGCTTCCTGAGATAGAGCCAGACAAAGCTTGAGATTGAAAATGACTTTGACCTTCTTCAAGGTCACAGGGGTCAAATATGTCAAACACTTGAAACATTTCTTCTGAAGAACTAAAAGGTATAGAACCTTCATATTTGGCTGGTGGCTTCCTGGGATAGAGACCGACAAAGTTTGAGAATGAAAATGAGTTTGACCTCCTTTCAAGGTCACAGCAGTCAAATATGTCAAATCCTTCAAATGACTTCTCTTGAAGAACTAAAAGGTATATAATCATGTCAAATATGTCGAAAACATCGGGCAACTTCTTCTGAAAAATCGAAAGGCATGAAATTATAATATTTGGCTAGCGGCTTCTTGGGATAGAGCTCACCAAAGTTTGCAAATTAAAATGACCTCAACCTACTTTAAATGTCACAGAGGTCAACAACATTTCAAAGGATTTGTTCTGAAGGACTAAAAGGAATGGATTCATAAGATTTGGCTGGTAGCTTTTTGGGATAGAGCTATAAAAGTTTGAGAAAGAAAATGAATTGACATACTTACAAGGTCACAGGAAAAAATATGTCAAACAACTTTTGAAGAAGAACAATGGCCAAAAGGCATAAAATCTTAAAATAATATTTGACTGGTAGTTTCAACAGATGGAGCTGACAAAGTTTGCAAGTGACAAATTTGTAGTACAATACAATATTTCATGAGAATATTTGCTATGACTGCTTAAATATTCAGGTGAGCGATACAGGCCCTCTGGGCCTCTTGTTTTAAAATGTTATAGTTCCTAGGGGTACATGTAATATATACAGTCATTTTATTTATGAATTTCCGAAATTTAAAAATATTGGCAAGTATGAATTTATTAAACAAGTCCAAGGTTTTTCCTCTGATGACCTATAATGAAGAATTAGTGACGAGTATCTTATACATTTCATATGAAATGGAAATGAATGTAAAATTCACTGTTTACATAATCAAGGTTTATTGTAAATATTTTGAACATTAAAACAACATCTTTCTCATACTGACATTTGAAGCAATAGGAACCAACAGCCAATCAAATTTAAGCTTTTCTTGGTGTTTCTAAATAGGTTTTTATAGCTCAATTTAACAAGGTAGTTTTGTACTAATAAACTTAAAATGAAAAACATGAGTTTTTCCACACCACGAACATTTCAACTGTTACAGTATTAAAAGCTTACAGATTTTTTTTTAGGCTTTGAAAGGGGAAGGACTTACCAGAATGATTGACAGTTTGAAGGTGTGGCATTGTGTACCTGAGGATCCTAAGAAATTTGTGGCCAAATCACATTCTCACTTCTGGGGAGACTGTCTCCCCGAACTCATCAAAATCATCCTTGGGTAAGCAATTAACACTATATTTTGTGCAGATATCTCAGTAGATTGCACTGCATAAGGTTTGGGAATCATTACAAACTAATTCTATTTCAGTCATAGGAAAATTAGTTACATTTTATTATCTAGGTATGTTGAGAAAGGCACTGATCATGAACCATGGTAGGCATATTCAAGGGTGCAGTGTGTTTTGTTAATCATTGATACAGTACCTACGATATACTGACGAGCGACAGGGGGATGGGGTAGGAGGGGATATAGGAATCACCCTGTCCGTCCATCTGTCCATTATCCTTACTGGCTTGTAAGCACAACTCCTCCTAAACCATAATGTGCATTTGCAATTTGATTATTAGCTCACCGGGTCCGAAGGACCAAGGTGAGCTTATGCCATACCGTGGCGTCCTTCGTCCGTCCGTCAACAATTTCTTTAAACGACTTCTTCTTCTTAACCACTGATTGGAATTTAACTAAATTTGACTGGAAGCATCCCTAGGTGGTGGGGATTCAAAATTATACAAATGGTGGGGCTGATCCCCCAGGGGGCTGAGGGGCTGGGCAAAAAGGGGGCAATTTGGCTATATTGCCTTAAGCGACATTTCCTCTGGAACTAAGAGATGGATATCAACCATATTTGACTGGAAGCATTCCTAGGTGGTGTGGATTCAAAATTGTACAAATGGTTGGGCTGACCCCCCAGGGGGCTGAGGGGCGGGGCCAAAAAGGGTTATTTGGCTATATTGCTTCAAGCGACATCTCCTCTGGAACTGAGAGATGAATATCAACCATATTTGATTGGAAGCATCCCTAGGTGGTGGGGATCAAAATTGTACAAATGGTGGGGCTGACCCCCCAGGGGACTGAGGGCGGGGCCAAAAGGGGGCAATTTGGCTAAATTGCTATAAACGACTTCTTCCGTAGAACTATACCATGGATATCAATCATATTTAATCAGAAGCATTCATGGGATGCAGGGATTCAAAATTGTACAAATGGTGGGGCTGACCCCCCGGGCTAAGGGGTGGGGCCAAAAAAAATGTATTACTTGGAAATGGTTGAGATCCCCACTATATAACCATATATATAATTGCTGAGTATAAAGAGAGGAATGCACATTTGCTTCAAGGATGGCCCTAGGGTCTGGCCCCACCCTTGGAGACTTAACCCCTGGGTCATAACTTTGAAACGGTTAAGATCCCCAACCCAAAACTATATATACAAACACTGGGCAAAAAGAGACAAATGCTGTCATGATATTAGAATTGATCCTGGGGTCTGGCCACAACCCTAGGGACCTAGTTTCTGAGTCACAGCTTGGAAACAGTTGAGATCCCCACCCCATAACCATACATAAAATTGCTGGGCATAAAAAATCAAATACAGATATGCTACAAGGATTGGCCTTGGGGTCTGGCATATTCCCTTGGATCTCATTTGGAGAATATTTTGCCATGATTTCTTAGATATCCAGGTGAGCGATACAGGCCCTCTGGGCCTCTTGTTTTTCTTAAAGTCATGGCTCTTGAAATATTCTGCTCCAGAAACCTTGTAAACACAACACCTACTTAACTGTTTTTTTTATTTTTTGGTAACTTGGTAGTGTTAAACTACATCTTATGTACATGTGCATGAAGAATGGAATTTGTGATTTAACTACTTTTCCTGGAGTTATGGCCCTTGACACTTTAACTTCTGCTCCAGAAATCTTGTAGGTGCAGGGGGGTATATCTATGTGAGCTCGCTGACAGTTTGAATTGTTTGGTAGTTATCAGGATAAGAATTTCTAGCTGATTTACTACACTAAACTCCTATAATACTACTTTTGATAGTGGATGTATGATATCAGGGTTAATATGTAAACTTGGTATAATTCCCAAATTTTCAGTAACTACAAAAGTGACAAAGTTTATGACCCAGAGATTCATCAACAGTTTCTGGATCTGTACCTGTTCTACTTCACAAAAATCACTGAGGTACCAGATGACTTTGTCTCCCATTTACAGTGTGCAATGAAGAGGATAGCGAAAGCTTACCCTGGCAAACATAATGACAACCCATATCAAGTAAGATTTTTTTCTATTGTAGTTCATCCATGACCTGTCATATCATCAATGTTATCACTGGAAGACATTCTTTATGAATTCACATGACTTCAACCATAACATATGTGAACTTCTACTATATGCATGTGTTCAATAGACTTTTAGTTTGGTGGTAACAGACGAAATACTAAGACAAACTTAAACAGAGGATATTGATGAATACAGACATGATTTAAGGGTTCCAGCATGCATGGTGATAGACCTGTTCATAAGAATTTATTGTGGCCCTGGGGTAATTTTCTCTGAATCCAATTTTTAGCTCAGCAGTTCTGAAGGACCAGGGTTTAACTAAGCAATGGATAACAACAATATTTGGTTGGAAGCATCCCTAGGTGGCGGGGATTCAAAATTGTACGAATGGTGGGATTGATACCCCAGGGGGCTGAGAGACCGGGCCAAAAAGGGTAATTTGCCTGTTTTGCTATAAGTGACTTATTCTCTGGAACTTAGCAATAGATATCAACAATTTTTTGTTGGAAGCATGCCTAGGTGGTGGGAATTCACAATTGTACAATTGGACAGGCTGATCCCTCGGGATAAGGGGTGGGGCCAAAAATAGTTTATAACTTGGAATTGATTGAGATCCTCACCCTATAACCACATACACAATTGCTGAGTATTAAGAGACGAATGCACATATGCTTCAAGGATGGCTCTGTGGTCTGGCCCCACCCCTTGAGACTTAGTCCCTGGGTCATAACTTTGAAATTGTTGAGATCCCCATCCCAAAACAATATATACAATTGTTGGGCATATGGTGATGTTTATGAGCCATAAAATAAAGGACTGACCTGACATAAGGTTTTCTCAAATAGTGATAGACAAGTATAAATTAGGTGGCAATTTTAAAACTGATGCTTAAGAAAAATTCAACAGCCTGTATCAAAAACTTATTTTTATGCAAGAACCTGTCTCACGAAAAGGAAATTGATTTAACAAAGGCACCGACTCTCTTATAAACAGGAATTTGATTTAACTAAGAAACCATCTTACAAATAGGAAATGGATTAAACAAGTTAAAGAATCCTTCTTTTAACACAAAGTCAAATAAACTAAGAAACCCTCCAATATACAGAAATTTAATTATAAAGAAACCCGCCTTTAAAGATACCATCCAGGAAGTTGATTGAACAAAGGCTACTCTCTCATAAACATTATTTCCATTGAAATTGTCAATTTACACAAGACTCTCCTGCCTTCCTTAAAGCAGCAGCTACATTAGGCATCTTATTTATATACTTGAGAGTCAAAAACACTTTGTTAAAACATTACCATCATAATTTAACTTCCAGAAGAATATTACTTGTCTGATTTTTAGCTCACCTGGCCTGATGGTCCCAGTGATCTTATGCCGTGGTGCAGCGTCCGTTGTCAGTGGTCCTGCAACCATTGTCCGTCAACTTTTTCCTTTAAAACGATACATACCTTAACGGCGCAGAGGATTTTGACCAAATTTGGTCTGTAGCATCATTGGCCAAAGAATTCTCAATTTTTTATAAACATAGGGTATGGCCCCCTTGGGGGCAGAGGGGCGGGGCCAAATAAGTGGAAAATAGGTAAATCTTCAAAAATCTTCTTCTTCTCAACCAATAAAAGGATTTTGACCAAATTTGTTTTGGAGCATCTTTGGACAAAGGGGCCTCAAATTTGTATTAACAGAGGGTGTGCCCTTTATGTAAACTGAGGCTGTGTGCTTCCTTTGGGGCAGAAGGGTACATGGGAAGCCCATTACGGGAAAAAGAGGAAAACTTAAAAATCTTTCTCCTTTTTTACCAGTGAAGAGATTTTAACCAAACCTGTTCTAGAGCATCTTTAGGAAAAGGGGATTCAATTTTGCATAAAGTTTTAAACGGAGTTTGTGCCCCATCCCCCACCACCCTAGGGGCCAGAAGGCCAAAAAACATTGTTAAAGATCATCTATAGGCAGAGAGACTTAATTTTGTAAATTTGTTTGGGGGAGGGGTCAGAGTGGCTAGCTGGGCCCAATAGGGGAAATACAGCTTTACATTTTAAAAATCCTTCTCCTCCCAAATGATTAAAGGGATTTTAACCAAATTTGGTCTAGAGCATCCTTAGGCAAGTTTAACTCAGGTTTATATAAACAGCATGTGTGGCTCTCCAGGGGCAGAGGGGTTTGACCTAATAGGGGAAATAGAGATTAATCAATAAAATCCTTCACCTTCCATATTGATTTAGGGGTTTTATCCCTAATCTATGAACAAATGTGCAATTTCTTGGCACGAAGAAAAGAAAACATGCCACGAAGATTGACCCGGAGGTCCAGACCAACCCCTGGAGACTACCTCCTTTGGACATAACATGTGAACTCAAGTTTTTGGTGTCTTACCCATCCAAACAGATTTACATGTAGTTCTTCTTGCAACCTGTACTTCTTGTACTCCTTTGATAAACTGGTTGGTACTCAGTAGGTTTTTAAATTGAAAATAAAATACCAGGTGAGCCTCATGTGAATAACTGCAAGTTGAATGCAAGTGATGGGAATTTAATTGATCACATTGCTTTAATTGTTTTGATAATGGAATCAGTAAGCACAGATCGAAATGAAAATATAAGGATCAGCCAATTAAAATGTTAAATGTAAATGATGTTTGTTTCCTCTCAATTAGGTTCTTCAAAATCCAGATATTTTCCAGAGACATTGGCAAACTGTAGGAGCCACAATTAGCAGCAACAAATTTCGAGAAAGACATGCTGATATATCTAGGGACATTGTCAATAAAATGGTTGACAGTTTTATGTAAGTATAGTGAATATACTAACACATACAAGTGTATGTAAGTATGTAACAAGTATGTGTAAGTATGTAACAAGTGTGTGTAAGTATGTAACAAGTGTATGTAAGTATATAACAAGTGTGTGTAAGTATGTAACAAGTGTATGTAAGTATGTTACATGTGTGTGTAAGTATGTAACAAGTGTATGTAAATATATAACAAGTGTATGTAAGTATATAACAAGTGTGTGTAAGTATGTAACAAGTGTATGTAAGTATATAACAAGTGTGTGTAAGTATGTAACAAGTGTGTGTTAGTATATAACAAGTATGTGTTAGTATATAACAAGTATGTGTAAGTATGTAACAAGTGTATGTAAGTATATAACAAGTGTATGTAAGTATGTAACAAGTGTGTGTAAGTATGTAACAAGTGTGTGTAAGTATATATGTAACAAGTGTGTGTAAGTATGTAATAAGTGTGTATAAGTATATATGTAACAAGTGTATATCTATAAAAAAAAAAGCATGTTTCAACTCAAATATAATATGGTCTGGGGTTAGTATTACTGTTCCCTTGCTATAGTTTTCAATTTGAATTGGGTTTGAATAAGCTATAATCTAATAATACATAATCACAAAGACCATACACCAGTAAAGTATACAACCTCCAGGTCACACCCATACACATGCACTGGAATCAAGGTATTCACACTCGCAACTTATTCTGTTCACATAAGTGTCTGTCATTCCTTAAATAGTCAGTGCCCTACAATGTATTCTTTTGAAAATAAAAAGGAAGTTATACAAATTATGTACAATAAAACGTCATATCTTTCCTTACACGTCTAGGGTGTGTGCCCATGCATATATTGTAAATACTCAAAGCTCATGTGTTTAATAGTATTATACCATAAATAATTTCCAATTCATTATTAAGGCTTCATGTAAAATTTATGAAAGATATGATTTTGAAATGTAATGTCTGTTTTTTGTTTTTATTTAATTAATGAAATTTGTTTAATTTTTTGTTTGTTTGTTGTTGGGCTTTTTTTGTAGAAATATAAGATGGACAGTTGTTTTATTGGATGACATCATAGACCTTATGAAGAGATTCTTTCTTACTGATCATGGTCACATGCATAAAGTGTTATCAAGGATTTTATATCTTTTGAAAGAAACAACAGCGAAGACCTATGATGTAAGTTGATTTTGAATCAGAAATATGTAGCACAACCCAAATACAATATACTTTGATATGTTTTCGTTCAGAAACCATTACCATGTATTGTCTAAGAAACCAGAACCTTGTATTGTCTAGGACACCATTAACTTGCATTGTCTAGAAAACTATTAACTAGTATTGTTGTGGAAACCATTACCTTGTATTGTCTAAGAAACCATTACTTTGTATTGTCCAGGAAACCATTACCTTATATTGTCTTGGAAACTATTACCTTGTATTGTCTAGAAAACTATTAACTAGTATGGTCCAGGAAACCAGTACCTTGTATTGTCTAAGAAACCATTACCTTGTATTATCTAGGAAACCTTTACCTTGTATTGTCTAGGGATCCATTACCTTGTATTGTCTAGGGATCCATTACCTTGTATTGTCCAGGAAACCATTACCTTGTATTGTCTAGGAAACCGTTACCTTGTATTGTCAAGGAAACCGTTACCTTGTATTGTCTAGGAAACCGTTACCTTGTATTGTCTAGGAAACCATTACCTTGTATTGTCTAGGAAACCGTTACCTTGTATTGTCAAGGAAACCTTTACCTTGTATTGTCCAGGAAACCATTATCTTGTATTGTTCAGGAAACCTTCAGGATACTCACAAGGATATGATTATGTCAGAGTTGTTGGGTTCTGGACAGAAACAATCCATAATATTCCACAGAAATAACGATTTTAACCCCCTACAAAGTTTGGGGGGTATATAGGAATCACCTGTCCGTCCGTACATCTGTGGGTCATTGCCACCAGTATGTCTTAACTAACTCAAAGTAACCAAAAATACCCAAAGTGCAAGTAAGCTTATGCCATGGCTCAGCGTCCGTCGTCTGTCCGTCCGTCGTCCGTCCATCCGTCCATCCGTCCATCCGTAAACTTTTCCTTTAAAACGCTTCTTGTCCTGAACGGGCCAGTAGATTTGGACTAAATTTGGTCTGAGCATCCTTAGGCCAAGGGGGCCAATGGTGGGTCTGGCCCCCCTGGGGCTGAGGGGCGGGGCGGGGCGGGGCGGGGCCCAATAGGGGAAATATTGAAAAATATTTAAAATCCTTCTTCTGTAGGAATGAAAGGATTTGTTCCATTTTTGGTCTGAATCATCCTGGGGTGAAGGAGAACCAATTTTGTATAAACCGTGGGTCTGGCCCTCCAGGGGCCTGAGGGGCGGGGCCCAATAGGGAAACATAGCAAATTCTTTTAACTCCTTCTTCTTCTGTAGGAATGAAAGGATTTGGTCCATATTTAGTCTGAAGCATTCTTGGGTGAAGGCCTGAAGGGGAACCAATTTTGTATAAATGGTGGGTCTGGCAACCCAGGGGCCTGAGGGGCGGGGCCCAATAGAGGAAACATAGCAAATTAATCTTTAAAATCCTTCTTCTTCTGTAGGAATGAAAGGATTTGGTCCATAATTGGTGTGGATCATCCTTGGGTAAAGGGGAACCAAGTTTGTATAAACGGTGTGTCTGGCCCCCCTGGGGGCTGAGGGGCAGGGCCCAATAGGGGAAATATAGCAAATTCTTAAAATCTTTCTTCTTCTGTAGGATTGAAAGGATTTGTTCCGTATTTGATCTGAAGCATCCTTGGGTAAAGAGAAACAAATTTTGTATAAACGGTGGGTGTGGCACCCTGGGACCCGAGGGGCGGGGCCCAATAGGGGAAATAGAGGTAAACCTTTAAAATCCTTCTTCTACCATAGGGATGAAGGGATTTCTTCCCAATTTGGTCTGGAGGATCTTTGGTAAAAGGGACTCAATTTTGTATAAACAGTGAGTGTGGCCCCCCTCGGTGCAGAAGGGCGGGGCCCAATAGGGGAAACATGGCAAATACCTTCTTCTTTACGAATGACAGGATTTTATCCAAACTTGGTATGAAGCATCCTTGGGTGAAGGGGAACCAATATTTAAAAAAACGGTGTGTCTAACCCCCCTGGAGGCAGACAGGTGGGGCCCAATAGGGGAAATTGATGTAAAACCTTTAAAATCCTTCTTCTACCATAGGGAATAAGGGATTTTATCCTAATTTCGTCTGGAGCATCCTTGGGCCAAGGGGACTCAATTTTGTATAAGCAGTGGGTGTGGTCTCCCAGGGGCAGAAGGGCGGGGCCCAATAGAAGAAATAGAGATAACACCTTTACAATCCTTCTTTGACCATTGGGATTAAGGGATTTTATCCTTATTTAGTCTGGAGCATCCTTGGGCCAAGGGAACTCAATTTGGTATAAACGGTGGGATGACCCCTCTAGGGGCATAGGGGTGGGACTCTGTTTGAAGTTTGTTCTCGCTATATCTCAAGTACTGGATGGATCTTTCTGAAATTTCATATGTACTTACAGCACCTACCATGGAGTGATATATCTTTACTTCATACCAATTATTTTAAACATATTCAGGTGAGCGATACAGGCCCTCTGGGCTTCTTGTTGTTTGAATATGATGGTGTTTTTGAATATGGAAGTATTCCTGATTTAATGTGATGGTGTCTTAAGTAAATGTTGATTAAAAACCAGGTCTATTAAATTTTTCAGGAAAACCCTCAGATCATGAACAAAATGCTTGCAATGTTCCAAGAAGTCTTGCAGAAGAAGCCTGAACATATGTCGTGGGCATACGATTATGTCACGGTCTTGAGTGACAAGTCCAGTGCAAGGTAAAGTAGTCTGAGTATTGCATACACAAATTAACAATATTTTCACATATCATTAACTGAATTTAACTGTAATATTACTTTCATGTAAACCTCCAGTAAATAGGTTAAAAATACTCTGTTGATATAATTTTGCAGGAAGGGAACAGAACAGGTATGGTTTCCACTCATGAAGGTACTGATGAGAACGATGCACAGGCAAGGAGTGTACCGGTGCTGTGATACATTCAGTCAGCTTAAATTTAAGAAGATTTGGAATTGGAAAGTAAGACATTTTTGTTGCTGTAAATATATATGCCAGACATAGGAATTTCATGTACTGCATAGTGGTTGTATTTCGCGGGGGTTTTAATTTCCCTTTACATATATTCACGCTTTGTCTAATATCCTTGAATTCTAAACACCAGCGAAATTATTGAAAACGTCAACCACTTTGATGGGCCTTATCACAACATGTTGAAAATACTTATACCCAATGCTGCTGTACAAGCTTAAATGAGCTCCAATCAGATTATCATCAGACAACTTGGCAGTCCATGTAAAAACAACATTTACATATAAATGGCCACAACATATTTTTGTGTTCAGTGTTTTCAAATGGTTTACCTGTATTTCGAGGTTTAACTCTAAAATGACGACACTCAAAAAACTTTGCAAGATGCATGGTATTCAGATACATAGCGAAATGTAACCCCCGCGAATATGTACTGAATACGAATATTGATCCCGCAAGTTTAAAGCGCTATACAGTAATATCAGTATAATATATAGAAGCTCAAATTCTTAGTTTCATATGGTGTTAACTGTGGGAATAATAATAATTTGAGGTTCATCTCAAAGCCGTTTCGGCGCTCACAGCTAGCATTCTACAATTCTAGCACTGCCCAACCACTTACTCATTCACAGCTGAGTAGACTGGAGCAAGTGGAGTAGAGTATCTTGCTCAAAGAAACAACACATTGCCGTGCCTTGCCATGTCGTGCCGTGCCATGCCATGACTTGAACCCGCAACCCTTCAGTCACCAGCCCGGCGTCCTACTACTAGACTAGCGTGCCTCCTAAATGAGTAGGGGATAATGATGCTTTTTGTTTGTATTTGCACATTGCAACATTGGACTATATTCTATTTTTCAGCAAAATTACCAAGAGGCCCTAGATATCATTGAGCCTATAGGAGAGGCACACCTACACTTGAACGGAGATGACTATGACGAAAGATTTTTAAAATACTGCGGGGACACAATCAGGACCCTTCTGGATCAGTTCAAGTTTGTATAATTTGTGTCTATCACATGTTGTTTTATTTGATCTCTGTAAAAAAGGTACAATCTTACAGTGTTTGATTATAAACAATTTACATTATGTATACTGTTTCATAATGGTTCAGCACCTGTTCTTAGTGTCTGATCCTATACTATGGTTCAGCACCTGTTCTTAATCTCCGAACCTATACTATGGTTCATCACCTGTTCTTAATGTCTGATCCTATACTATGGTTCAGCACCTGTTCTTAGTGTCTGATCCTATACTCTGGTTCAGCACCTGTTCTTAATGTCTGATCCTATATTATGGTTCAGCACCTGTTCTTAATGTCTGATCCTATACTCTGGTTCAGCACCTGTTCTTAGTGTCTGATCCTATACTATGGTTCAGCACCTGTTCTTAGTGTCTGATCCTATATTATGGTTCATCACCTGTTCTGAGTGTCTGATCCTATACTATGGTTCAGCACCTGTTCTTAGTGTCTGAACCTATACTATAGTTCAGCACCTGTTCTTAATGTCTGATCCTATACTAAGGTTCAGCACCTGTTCTTAGTGTCTGATCCTATATTAAGGTTCAGCACTTGTTCTTAATGTCTGATCCTGTACTATGGTTCAGCACCTGTTCTTAATGTCTGAACCTATACTATGGTTCAGCACCTGTTCTTAGTGTCTGATCCTATATTATGGTTCATCACCTGTTTTGAGTGTCTGATCCTATACTATAGTTCATCACCTGTTCTTAATGTCTGATCCTGTACTAAGGTTCAGCACCTGTTCTTAGTGTCTGATCCTATATTAAGGTTCAGCACTTGTTCTTAATGTCTGATCCTGTACTATGGTTCAGCACCTGTTCTTAATGTCTGAACCTATACTATGGTTCAGCACCTGTTCTTAGTGTCCAATCCTGTACTATGGTTCAGCACCTGTTCTTAGTGTCTGAACCTATACTATAGTTCAGCACCTGTTCTTAATGTCTGATCTTATACTATGGTTCAGCACCTGTTCTTAATGTCTGAGCCTATATTATGGTTCAGCACCTGTTCTTAATGTCTGATCCTATACTATAGTTCAGCACCTGTTCTTAATGTCTGATCTTATACTATGGTTCAGCACCTGTTCTTAATGTCTGACCCTATACTATGGTTCAGCACCTGTTCTTAGTGTCCAATCCTATACTATGGTTCAGAACCTGTTCTTAGTGTCTGATCCTATACTCTGGTTCAGCACCTGTTCTTAGTGTCTGATCCTATATTAAGGTTCAGCACTTGTTCTTAATGTCTGATCCTGTACTATGGTTCAGCACCTGTTCTTAATGTCTGAGCCTATATTATGGTTCAGCACCTGTTCTTAATGTCTGATCCTATACTAAGGTTCAGCACCTGTTCTTAGTGTCTGATCCTATATTAAGGTTCAGCACTTGTTCTTAATGTCCGATCCTGTACTATGGTTCAGCATCTGTTCTTAATGTCATGTCTGATCCTATACTAAGGTTCAGCACCTGTTCTTCTGATCCTATATTATGGTTCATCACCTGTTCTGAGTGTCTGATCCTATACTATAGTTCATCACCTGTTCTTAATGTCTGATCCTATACTTCACCTGTTCTTAGTGTCTGATCCTATACTATGGTTCAGCACCTGTTCTTAATGTCTGATCCTGTACTATGGTTCAGCATCTGTTCTTAATGTCTGATCCTGTACTATTAGACTACACTGACGAAATTAAAATAAATGGTGCTATTTTATTCTTAGACTTTTCTAAAGCTTTTGATTTACTTGAATAGTTTTTATGCTTAAATCATTAGAGAAATTTGGTTTTGATAAGTTATTTATAACGTGGGTTAAAACATTATATTAAAATATATCAGCATTTGTTGCTTATAATGGATGGTTTTTGAAAAAAATCTAAATAACTTGTGGAATTAGGCAGGGATGCCCACTACCTGCTCTATTGTTTGTAATTGCAGTTGAAATAATGGCAATAAGAAATAGAAAAGAAAAATTTTGACTGGTATTCCAATTCGACTGAAATCAGGAGAAAATATAAAACAATCAGTCCATTCGCAGGCGATGCATCTTTATTTTTAAAATCGAAATACAAAATAAAGCTCTCGCTTAATCTGATCAACCTGAGTATGGTAAGTATTCAGGTCTGAAACTTAACAAAGAAAAAACTGAGGGATATTGGCTAGGCAAGTTTAAACACTATACAGAGACCTTGGACGGTGTGAAACTCACCTAAACCAGCTAAAGCTTTAGGTATTTATTTTGGTCATGTGAACCTATTGGGATAAAACTCTAGATAAAGTAACTCAATCTCTAAAAAAAATAAAGAGAACATACCTGTATAGGACATTACAAAAAGGAGGTTTAAACATAACTGATATAGAGACCTCAAAAGATTGTTTAAAAATAAATTGGATAAAAAGGCTGTTAAAATCAGAGGAAGCAGCTTGGAAATATACCAACCATTTATTACAAAAAATCTTGTTTTTTATTTTTTTAAATGAATATTGACAGTGTAGCATCTTTAGGTAGAACAGAAAGACTTCCTAGATTCTACAAAGACATTCTAGTATCATGGCTAAAAACACGTCAAACTGAAAATAGTTCCCTGACAGATTTTCACATATTAAGGCAACAAATTTTGTAGGGAAATCGTTTTATTAAATACAAAGGTAAATGTTTGGTTTATGAAAACTGGATTAAAAGGGGAATAATCACTATGATCTATTGGAGATATTCTGGGGACAGATATGTGAATTTCACAAGATAAAATTTTAGCCAAACTAATTTCTAAATCGAATTGGATTTCCGAAATTAGCAGGTTAAAAATAGCCATTCCTAAAATTTGGTTGTAAGTTATACAGGAAAACAGTATGAATACACAAAAACACATAAAAAGATAACACTAGAACAGGCAACAGACAAAAAACTATACAAGCTACTACTTGAATACATGCTCACCAAACCACTAACATTCACAAAACTAAATAATTTATTTGGAGCTGAGAATGATGAAATAAATAATACACTTCTGTTTATTTCAAATATCAAAGAAAACAAATTCAAGATTTTCTGGACAAAAATTTCAAATCTGATGATGGACCTTTGATTCGCTAACAAGAATGTTATAACATTGAAGTCATTAATCATGGGGTATAAGCCATATGCAAAAGAGTACTTTTTCTTTAACTATAAACTGACATTACTTGGTTACAGTATATACAAATGCTATTACTTAAGTGAGCAAAACAAAAAAAGAGTAAAGTTGTTCAGGATTTTTAAAAGCGAAACCATATCTCCCATATTTATGTCCTACCTGTTTTAAGGGAAAACAAGAAAATGTGGGGTAAATAAAGACAAATATTAGAGAGTAAAACATGAGGGAAATTTTAGAGAGAGAAAAAAAGAAAAATCTGCATGCAATCTCTCATATGCACGTGGATGAGAGAATGCACTCCATCAGACATTAAACATAAAACATATAGCTTTCCTTCCCAGATGTTGAAGTATACTATGCCTTTTTTTAATGTATTTAACATAGCATTAGATTACTTTTCATTGTATGTGTGTATGTATGTATGTATGTATGTTTGAATGATTCTTCTTAGGAACTACAATGTTAGAATCATATTATTTATCCTGTAATTTTCTTGGGTAAAAGGCTATGAAAAGTTTCAAGTACTATGATTCTAAAATTATATCAATGTTTCAACTTTGAAGACATTCAAGATCAAATGGGTCAACTTTATTAAAATGTTCAAAAAACTTCTTTAAATGAAGTCCTACAGTAATAAACCATTTTTGTTGAAGTAAAGGTCCATCATGTTTCATCACAGAAGTCAAATGTGTTAAAACTTTAAACATCTTTTTATAAACTATGGAACTTATTGTAATTCTATATACACTAGTACGTAACATGCTGGAGTGATAAGTTATCAAAAGTTTTCAAACAATTGACCTTGAACTACTTAAGTTTTAATGTAAGCAAGGGATCATATGTGTCAAAATGTTCAAACAACTTCAGGAATGAGGATGCATAAATTAAGTATAGTGGTTTTGTAAGAGAATCCTATTTGGTTACCTAATTAGATCATGTTTACCCAAACACAAGGTCATAGTCCTGTTAAAAAGCTTTTCTAGGACCACTAGAAAACTAGGCTCATATTATTTGACATGTTACTTACAGGAGTAAATTGCTATGAAATTTGTTCAAATAAATGACAAAATGTCAAGTTCTATTAGGCCATAAATCTGGATGTATTCATGGCCTTTATTGACTTGATTTGTGAAAAAATCTCTTTAAAGCAAAACCTATCATGATAATGTTAAATCCGTGGTTTACCAGATACTGCTATGTTAAATAATCATAACCAGGGATTTATGCTTAATTTGTGGACTGGAGTAATTCAATCTGCTTTCTATGGGAATTTTGATTGATTTCAAGGTTGGACAAACATGGGTTTAGTGACATACTAATGTGGCATTAAAATCGTTACTTGTTCGAACTCACAGGTCTATGTCATGGTTAAGAATACAAAAAATATATTTTGTTTTCTTTTGAAACTCTATTTGTAATTTCTATAAGCATTTTGAAAATGGTTAACTTTATATTCCAGGTTTGCAAACATTCCAGAGAAGCTGAATGGACGCGTAGCTGAATTGGCCATGACCTTTATGGAGAAAAGGTCAAAACAACTGAATAGATTTGTTGGAATATTTATCAGAGATGTCACACTAGAGGTGAGTTATCAGTTATCCACTCTTTTCATACATCTACAGGATCATCAGCATGTCTGTGTCCACTCTTTTCATACATCTACAGGATCATCAGCATGTCTGTGTCCACTCTTTTCATACATCTACAGGATCATCAGCATGTCTGTGTCCACTCTTTTCACACATCTACAGGATCATCAGCATGTCTGTGTCCACTCTTTTCACACATCTACAGGATCATCAGCATGTCTGTGTCCACTCTTTGGAAAAAATACAGGGAAAGCTCAGTTCATAGTTCACCTGTCCTTTTTTCTCTTACATATTGATTTCTGAAGAGTAAATTGCTTCTCTGACAATTAGCTTCCTAAATATTTATGGAATTCAGCCAACTTGTATATTTCCATAACGGTAAAACTCATGCTCAAAAGTTGGAAGATAAGCAGTATCTGTGCATATTTAATTAGAATGTATTGGTTGATTCCAGATGATGACTTCTCGAGATAATATGCATGCTTGCATGGTGACATACTCAGACCAGTTTCACTGATAGGCAGAATTTTTGCATACTTAGATATGTTACTTCCTTGATTTTGATCAGCCAACAAATTTGAGATAATGGCTAGAAATGTTTTGATTCAGTCAAACTTGGTAGGAGATTACATAGTGAGAATGCTCAGACTATGTTTGAAGATCATAAATTGGAATTTACAAGTCCTTTTTCAATTTTGATAGATCTGAACAATCTGCACAATAATTTCCTGATGGAATTTTATCAAAGTTTTGACAATTTCTTGCATTATGGAAATTACCAGGCATAGTTCAAAGATATGTAGAATAATTCTGATGGATTGCCTCTTTAAGGAANCCCCCCCCCCCCCCCCCCCCTTCAAAAAAGGTTTGAGGTATATAATTAATATATGCTTGTCTGTCCTCCGTCTGTCTGCTGTCCCCACGTCTGTCCATGCTGACTGGTTTCTGGAGCATATCTTAGATGCTGTTTCATGATTGGGCATCAATCTTTATAGGTTCATCATAGGAAGGCGGTGTCTAAAACGAGATCACAGTGACCTCAATTTACTTAAGACTTTCTCCTCAAATACTACTCACAAAATGGTTTCTGGAGCACATCTATGGACCAATGGAATACCAATGTTGTATAAATTAAGTGTGTTACCTTTCTGTGAGCAGAGGAGTAGCACCCAAAAGGGGGGAAAAGGTGTTGTGAATTCTCCTGGAATTCAACACGTTGTAATGTGGCTCTGTCGGGGACAGAGGGATAAGAACCAAAAGGGGGAAATAACATTTTATTTCTAAATACTACTCCTTCAATATTAAATAAGGGATTTCGACCCAATTTAATATGAATCACACCCTTGTTTGCGGAAATTCAACATTGTATAAATGAACGGTGTGGATCTCATTAGGAGCAGAGAAACAGGGTTCATTATATGGGCAGTGGGACAAAGCATTTCAGCTTTTTCTCCAGGTCTATCTAAGCATTGGAATTTCTTTGCATGTTCAAAATATCACTTGAACTCTAAGTAGAATAATTATCTTAAACAGTGAATCCGTTTCCAACCAGTGAAATTGCTCAGCTTAAAATATTGAATTTAGGATTAATATTTTAAAACAGACATTCACTGATGCCTTGTTAATTTTTAGGGAAACCAGGATGTGATTCCTGGCCTGATGAAGAGATTTGCAGTACTCTTCTATGACAGAGACTACATGTACATGTTGGATGAATATAACAGATCTTCGTTTGCATGCAGCTTCATGGAGAATGCCATAGGAGCCTACAGGTATATAACCGGTATTAAATAGTCTGGTATGTCATAATTATCAACAAACAATTACAAAAATTGACCGCAAATTTAATATGAAAAGACCAGATCAAGAACAGAGAACAAGTCGTTGAAAGAAAAGAAGTATCACTACAAGACGTGCCTACAAAACAATAAAGTCTCGGGTTTTACTGCACAACATTTGGTATCAATCATGATGTCTGCTAGCCGACAAATAAAGGAACTTTTGTTGATCTCTGTAGGATGTTGGACAGACAATAATGAACAGAATTTAAATCATGGCATATGTATTGAATTATGTATATGAACATCAGGTCCTAATATGATTGTGTTTTGTGTCTATAGATTGTGTCTTGTGTCTAAAGATTGTGTCTTGTGTCTACAGATTGTGCCTTGTGTCTACAGATTGTTTCCTGTGTCTACAGATTGTGTCTCGTGTCTATAGATTGTGTCTTGTGTCTAGCATATGTGTCTTGTGTCTACAGATTGTTTCCTGTGTCTACAGATTGTATCTTGTGTCTATAGATTTGCCTTGTGTCTACAGATTGTTTTTTGTATCTATAGATTGTTTCTTGTGTCTACGGATTAAGTCTTGTGTGTTACAGATTGTGTCTTGTGTCTACAGATTGTTTCTTGTATCTATAGATTGTGTCTTGTGTCTATAGATTGTGTCTTGTGTCTACAGATTGTGTCTTCTGTCTACAGATTGTTTCCTGTGTCTACAGATTGTGTCTTATGTCTACAGATTGTGTCTTGTGTCTACAGATTGTGCCTTGTGTCTACAGTTTGTTTTTTGTATCTATAGATTGTGTCCTGTGTCTATAGATTGTGTCTTGTGTCTACAGATTATGTCTTGTGTGTTCCAGATTGTGTCTTGTGTCTATAGATTGTGTCTTGTGTCTACAGATTTGCCTTGTGTCTACACATTTTTTTTGTATCTATAGATTGTGTCTTGTGTCTATAGATTATTGTGTCTTGTGTCTATAGATTGTGTCTTGGGTCTACAGATTTGCCTTGTGGCTACAGATTGTTTTTTGTATCTATAGATTGTTTCTTGTGTCTACAGATTATGTCTTGTGTGTTCCAGATTGTGTCTTGCGTCTATAGATTGTGTCTTGTGTCTACAAATTATGTCTTGTGTGTTCCAGATTGTTTCCTGTGTCTACAGATTGTAACTTGTGTCTATAGATTGTGTCTTGTGTCTATAGATTATGTCTTGTGTGTTCCAGATTGTGTCTTGTGTCTATAGATTGTGTCTTGTTTCTATAGATTGTGTCTTGTGTCTACAGATTTGCCCTGTGTCTACAGATTGTTTTTTGTATCTATAGATTGTGTCTTGTGTCTACGAAGTATGTCTTGTGTGTTACAGATGGTGTCTTGTGTCTACAGATTGTTTCCTGTGTCTACAGATTGTAACTTGTGTCTATAGATTGTGTCTTGTGTCTATAGATTATGTCTTGTGTGTTCCAGATTGTGTCTTGTGTCTATAGATTGTGTCTTGCGTCTATAGATTATTGTGTCTTGTGTCTATAGATTGTGTCTTGGGTCTACAGATTTGCCTTGTGGCTACAGATTGTTTTTTGTATCTATAGATTGTGTCTTGTGTCTATAGATTGTTTCTTGTGTCATCAGATTGTTTCCTGTGTCTACAGATTGTGTCTTGTGTCTCTAGATTGTGTCTTGTGTCTATAGATTGTGTCTTGCGTCTATAGATTATTGTGTCTTGTGTCTATAGATTGTGTCTTGGGTCTACAAATTATGTCTTGTGTGTTACAGATTGTTTCCTGTGTCTACAGATTATATCTTGTGTCTATAGATTGTGTCTTGTGTCTAGAGATTGTGTCTTGTGTCTACAGATTGTGCCTCGTGTCTACAGATTTTTTTTTGTATCTATAGATTGTGTCTTGTGTCTATAGATTGTTTCTTGTGTCTACGGATTATGTCTTGTGTGTTACAGATTGTGTCTTTTGTCTCCAGATTGTTTCCTGTGTCTACAGATTGTAACTTGTGTCTATAGATTGTGTCTTGTGTCTAGAGATTGTGTCTTGTGTCTACAGATTGTGCCTTGTGTCTACAGATTGTTTTTTTGTATCTATAGATTGTGTCTTGTGTCTACGAAGTATGTCTTGTGTGTTACAGCTTGTGTCTTGTGTCTACAGATTGTTTCCTGTGTCTACAGATTGTAACTTGTGTCTATAGATTGTGTCTTGTGTCTATAGATTGTTTCTTGTGTCTACGGATTATGTCTTGTGTGTTACAGATTGTGTCTTTTGTCTCCAGATTGTTTCCTGTGTCTACAGATTGTATCTTGTGTCTATAGATCGTTTTTTGTACCTATAGATTGTGTCTCGTGTCTACGAAGTATGTCTTGTGTGTTACAGATTGTGTCTTGTGTCTATAGATTATTGTGTCTTGTGCCTATAGATTGTGTCTTGTGGCTATAGATTGTGTTTTGTGTCTATAGATTGGGTCTTGTGTCTATTGATTGTGTCTTGTGTCTACAAATTATGTCTTGTGTGTTACCGATTGTGTCTTTTGTCTACAGATTGTTTCTTGTTTCTATAGATTGTGTCTTGTGGCTATAGATTGTGTCTTTTGTCTATTGATTGTGTCTTCTGTCTACAGATTGTTTCTTGTGTCTATAGATTGTTTCTTGTGTCTATAGATTTTGTCTTGTGTCTATAGATTGTGTGTTCTGTCTACAGATTGTTTCTTGTGTCTATAGATTTTGTCTTGTGTCTATAGATTGTGTGTTCTGTCTACAGATTGTTTCTTGTGTCTATAGATTGTTTCTTGTGTCATCAGATTGTTTCCTGTGTCTACAGATTGTGTCTTGTGTCTCTAGATTGTGTCTTGTGTCTATGGATTGTGTCTTGTGTCTAGAGATTGTGTCTTGTGTCTACAAATTATGTCTTGTGTGTTACAGAATGTTTCCTGTGTCTACAGATTGTGTCTTGTATGTATAGATTGTGTCTTGTGTCTACAGATTTGCTTTGTGTCTACAGATTGTTTTTTTGTATCTATAGATTGTGTCGCGTGTCTATAGATTGTGTCTTGTGCCTATAGACTGTGTCTTGTGTCTATAGATTGTATCTTGTGTCTATAGATCGTTTTTTGTTCCTATAGATTGTGTCTCGTGTCTACGAAGTATGTCTTGTGTGTTACAGCTTGTGTCTTGTGTCTACAGATTGTGTCTTGTGTCTCTAGATTGTGTCTTGTGTCTAAAGATTGTGTCTTGTGTCTACAGATATGCTTTGTGTCTACAGATTGTTTTTTTGTATCTATAGATTGTGTCTTGTGCCTACAAATTATGTCTTGTGTGTTACAGAATGTTTTCTGTGTCTACAGATTGTTTCTTGTGTCTATAGATTGTTTCTTGTGTCTATAGATTGGGTCTTGTGTCTATTGATTGTGTCTTGTGTCTACAAATTATGTCTTGTGTGTTACAGAATGTTTCCTGTGTCTACAGATTGTTTCTTGTGTCTCTAGATTGTGTCTTGTGTCTAAAGATTGTGTCTTGTGTCTACAGATTATGTCTTGTGTGTTACAGATTGTGTCTTGTGTCTATAGAGTGTGTCTTGTGTCTACAGATTGTTTTCTGTGTCTACAGATTGTTTCTTGTCTCTATAGATTGTTTCTTGTGTCTATAGATTGTTTCTTGTGTCTATAGATTGGGTCTTGTGTCTATTGATTGTGTCTTGTGTCTACAAATTATGTCTTGTGTTTTACAGATTGTTTCCTGTGTCTGCAGATTGTATCTTGTGTCTATAGATCGTATTTTGTACCTATAGATTGTGTCTTGTGTCTTATAGATTGTGTCTTGTGTCTATTGATTGTGTCTTGTGTCTACAAATTATGTCTTGTGTGTTACAGAATGTTTTCTGTGTCTACAGATTGTCTCTTGTGTCTATAGATTGTGTCTTGCGTCTATAGATTGTGTCTTGTGTCATCAGATTGTTTCCTGTATCTACAGATTGTGTCTTGTGTCTACAGAGTGTTTCCTGTGTCTACAGATTGTGTCTTGTATGTATAGATTGTGTCTTGTGTCTACGAAGTATGTCTTGTGTGTTACCGATTGTGTCTTTTGTCTACAGATTGTGCCTTGTGTCGACAGATCGTTTTTTGTATCTATATATTGTGTCTCGTGTCTATAGATTGTGTCTTGTGCCTAGAGATTGTGTCTTGTGTCTACAGACTGTGCCTTGTGTCTACAGATTGTATCTTGTGTCTATAGATCGTTTTTTGTTCCTATAGATTGTGTCTCGTGTCTACGAAGCATGTCTTGTGTGTTACAGATTGTTTCCCGTGTCTACAGATTGTATCTTGTGCCTATAGATTGTGTCTTGTGTCTTATAGATTGTGTCTTGTGTCTATTGATTGTGTCTTGTGTCTACAAATTATGTCTTGTGTGTTACCGATTGTGTCTTTTGTCTACAGATTGTGCCTTGTGTCTACTGTGTCTATAGATTGTGTCTTGTATGTATAGATTGTGTCTTGTGTCTAAAGATTGTGTCTTGTGTCTATAGATTGTGTGTTCTGTCTACAGATTGTTTCTTGTGTCTATAGATTGTGTCTAGTGTCTATAGATTGTGTCTTGTGCCTACAAATTATGTCTTGTGTGTTCCAGATTGGTTTCTGTGTCTCCAGATTGTATCTTGTGTCTATAGATCGTATTTTGTACCTATAGATTGTGTCTCGGGTCTACGAAGTATGTCTTGTGTGTTACCGATTGTGTCTTTTGTCTACAGATTGTGCCTTGTGTCTACAGATTGTGTCTTGTGGCTATAGATTGTGTTTTGTGTCTATAGATTGTGTCTTGTGCCTACAAATTATGTCTTGTGTGTTACAGAATGTTTCCTGTGTCTACAGATTGTTTCTTGTCTCTATAGATTGTTTCTTGTGTCTATAGATTGTGCCTTGTGTCTACAGATTTGTTTTTGTATCTATAGATTGTGTCCTGTGTCTATAGATTGTGACTTGTGTCTATAGATTGTGTCTTATGTCTATAGATTGTGTCTTGTGTATACAGATTGTGCCTTGTGTCTACTGTGTCTATAGATTGTGTCTTGTATGTATAGATTGTGTCTTGTGTCTAAAGATTGTGTCTTGTGTCTATAGAGTGTGTCTTGTGTCTACAGATTGTGCCTTGTGTCTACAGATTGTGTCTTGTGCCTATAGATTGTGTCTTGTGTCTATAGATTGTGTCTTCTGTCTACAGATTGTTTCTTGTATCTATAGATTGTGTCTTGTGTCTATAGATTGTGTCTTGTGTCTACAGATTGTTTCTTGTGTCTATAGATTGTGTCTTGTGTCTATATATTAAGTCTTGTGTCTACAGATTGTTTCTTGTCTCTATAGATTGTGTCTTGTGTCTATAGATTGTGTTTTGTGTCTACAGATTGTGTCTTCTGTCTACAGATTGTTTCTTGTATCTATAGATTGTGTCTTGTGTCTACAGATTGTGTCTTGTATGTATAGATTGTGTCTTGTGTCTACAGATTGTGTCTTCTGTCTACAGATTGTGTCTTGTGTCTACAGATTGTGTCTTGTATGTATAGATTGTGTCTTGTGTCTACAAATTGTGTCTTCTGTCTACAGATTTTTTCTTGTGTCTATAGATTGTGCCTTGTGTCTACCGATTGTTTCTTGTATCTATAGATTGTGTCTTGTGTCTATAGATTGTATCATGTGTCTACATATTGTGTCTTGTGATTACAGATTTTTTCATGTGGATACAGATTGTGTGTTTTGTCTTCAAATTGTCCTGTCTACAGTTTGTATCTTATGTCTAAAGATTGTTGCTTAAGACAGGTTGATTTGCTATTTCACGTATATAAGGGACCTTATTTAGTGTAGTTGTAATTAGTGGCTGTCTTTGATGACGTTTTGATTAATTTTATTGTGTTGGTTTCAGCTTTGGAAAAGAAATACCAGATGATGTCAACAAGACGTTTGTAGAGATGTTTTTGTGGGTGATGCAGACAGAGGATTTGGAGTACACGGACATGAACCATAGCGACAAATCTCTGTATGGCCGTACAGCCAGTAGGTTCTTGGAAATGTTTACGAGTAAAGTAAGGATTTTAGTCCATTTAATACATTTTTAGAATGTACTCAATTTTAAATGGCTCAATGATTAAGCTGTGAATGATTTGTCACAATCACATATTTGCAGTGGACTCTTGTGTATATGTGTATTTTTAGGTCACCTGAGCTTTAGCTCAAGTTACCTAATGCTATCCGTCTTCGTCCTTCATCGTCCGTCGTCCGTTAACATTTTACATTTTCAACTTAAGCTGAAATACTGTCAAAGGGATTTCCTTGATACTTCATTGGAATGTTACTGACAACTCGCTCACCAAGTGTTGTTATTTTTCGGGTCGATCAGAAATCCAATATGGCCGCCACTGCAGTCATTTTGAAAAACTATTTCAAACTTAAAAGTCAAGTTCTTCTGAGCCGATTTAACTGAAACTTGGTAAGAATGATCAACTCATGGTCCTGACAAAGTGTTGTTATTATTTGGGTCGATCATAAATCCAATATGGCAACCACGGCCGTAATTTTGAAAAAAACATTTCAAACTTTGTCAAGTTCAACTTGGCCGATTTAACTGAAACTTGGTAGAAATGATCAATTTATGTTTTTGACAAAGTGTTGTTATTTTTCGGGTCGATCAGAAATCCAATATGGCCACCACAGCAGCCATTTTGAAAAACTATTTCAAACTTAAAGTCAAGTTCTTCTGGGCCGATTTAACTGAAACTTGGTAGGAATTATCAAAATATGGTCCTGACAAAGTGTTGTTATCTTTTGGGTCAATCAGAAATCCAATATGGCTGCCATTTTGAAAAACTATTTCAAACTTTAAGTCAAGTTCTTCTGGGCACATTTAACTGAAACTCGGTCTAGGAATGATCAACTCATTGTCCTGACAAACTTAACTTAAAGTTATACTTAACTTTTTATTACTCAAATTTTGGTAGGGATGATTGACATCATTATCTTCACTTTATATTTCAACAACAAAAATTGATACTGTAGGACTCAAGTGACCGTTCAGGCCCATGGGCCTTTTTGTTTTAAGAATCGATCATGTGTTGATCATGTATGCTATTTTGTTAGTGATGTTGTTTGAATCCCAGTGTTCCAAATATTCCAGTGAGAGTGAGAGAGTGGAAAGAGCACTACAGGAGAGCTTGTCTGAGAAAGATAGATGTATAAGTCTGTTGCCTAGGATTCAACCTAAAAACCAGATGTTTTAACGCCTGAAATGTTTTCATCCATGGCTTGATATATCAGAGCAGTCAAGTTTGGATGACACAGTTGATACATCATAGTAAATAAATGGTCAGTTCCAAAAGGTATTGGAGCCGTGTGGCCAAGTGATTAAGGCATCTGACAGTCTATGATCACTAATCCTCCACCACTGAGCAAGAGGGCAAAGTCAGAATTAATAAAGATTATGAAATATGGGTGAATAAGCACTCTCAAAACCTTATCCGTTGTCAGATTTGTTCCAGACACAAAAGCCAGACTAAACATAATGTTTGGATTCGGTACAGCACAACACCAAAAGATAATAATCCAGTAAAATATTACTACTGCCAATGCCCAGTTGGTCAAAGAACTATGGGAATGTCAAAATCCAAAACAGTTGCACCAAAGGGCTAAGAACTTCTGACAAAGCTTGAAATAAGTTGTTTGCTTGTGAATCTAGAAACACCTGTTTGTCAACAAACTCAAAGCCTCACATCATCTTTTCTTCCTTCTTTTTTACAAGTCTCCCATTCGAACACATATCAAACTCTTGCATCCTGCGTCTAACTTTTAATAAATATATAAAAACAAAGTAACAAACAAACATACAATCTCTGAATTCTAATGATATTGCAAGAAAATTGTCTGGGAATCTGACAACTGATTAGGCAGTAGAATGAATGTTTTGGTGGCCATCTTGAAAAGGAATAACCGACAAATCTTTTCCAAACATGTTCTCTGTTCATTCCATCTAAACTGGAACAAATAGTTTCTTCTTTTCTGTCAGTTTTTAGTCATAATAATTAGACTATACCCATAGCCATGAATTCTGATATATAGACCATATGGTCATTGGATCGCTTTTTAGCTGCCTATTCGAAGAATAGGGGGGCTAATGTAGGTAGTCACCCCGGCGTCGGCGTCGGCGTCGGCATCGGCATCCCACCTTCTGAAGTTAAAGTTTTGGTGCAAGTATTTTCCAGACAATGTTGGATTGCCACACTCATTACACAGTTGTCTTTTATGAGTTTAAGTCCTTTATATCGAGTGTAAGCAATATTCTGGGCAATATTTTCATGTTTTATGGCCCAAAAACAGATTAATTGGACTTAGTTAAATTTGAGGTTAAAGCTTTTGGGCAAGTTTTTTCCAGACAATGTTGGATCATCACATTCCATACACAGTTGTCTATAATGAGTTTAAGTCCTTTATATCGAGTGTAAGCAATGTTCTGGGCAATATTTTCATATTTTATGGCCCAAAAACAGATTAATTGGACTTAGTTAAATTTGAGGTTAAAGCTTTTGGGCAAGTTTTTCCAGACAATGTTGGATCATCACACTCAATACACAGTTGTCTATTATAAGTTTAAGTCATTTATATCATGTGTAAGTAATGTGCTGAACCATATTTTCATGTTTTATGGCCCAAAAACAGCTTAATTGGACTTAGTTAAATTTGAGATTAATGTTTTTGGGCAATTTTTTTTTGAAGTGTTGGACATCCACCATCAATAGGCTGTTGTCTATTATAAGGTGAAGCATTAATATGGAGTGTTAGCAATGTTCTGGGCAATCTTTTCATATTTTAGGGGCCAAAAACAGCTTAATTGGACTTGATTAAATTTGAGGTTAAAATTTTTGGGCAAGTTTTTTTGGGTAGTGTTGGACCACCACCATCAATAAGCTGTTATCTATTATAAGGTTGAAGTATTTGTATTGAGTGTAAGCATTGTGTTGAACCATATTTTAGGCTCCAAAAATAGCTTTATTGGACTTTGTTAATTTCTTAACAATCACTTCACATAGATGTTTCTACACATTTAACAGTCCTTGAAATATCCTGATGGTAAGTGAGGTGGCAAATAAAATGACAGGCACTATATCAACGTTTTTACTATACATGTGTTTCTATTGATAGTTGCAGTATTATAATAACATACATAGGCGAGCTATGCTGTTCTCACACAGCTCCTGTTTAAATATGTTCCACCACATATTCAGGATTGATATTTTTGTCACTGGTAGTTCATGACCAAGGCCTTCTATAATCAAAATATTTTTGGTATACAAAAGTTATAAGATACTACTATTCTAAGATGAACACATTTTTTGTCTGGAAATATCATCGCTTGAGATGGCTTCCGGCTGTTGATTTGTCTGCAAATATCTGAAAACTCACCATAGCAAGATAATTTTACATGTATACTGTAGCACATGATCCCTAGTTTTGGTTGCATCAATAATGATCCTTCAATGTATTATCCGTCTGACAACATTCATCTTTTTGGTGTTTTGGTTGTGATAAGTTTTAGGTCTACAACTCTCTTAAATAAAATTGAAATCATAGGAGGGGCCACACCCACCCCCTTTGTAAAATGGTGTAATTTATATCTGGTATAACATTGAACATCAACCACTGCTATTTCTTTTAAGAGAAATTTGTATACCATGAAAGAGTTTTGCCTATGCTGAATGAGCATCATAATTACTTGTTCTTGAACTACGAGAACTATTAAGATTTATGATTGGTGTTTCTGGAAAACAAGAGCAATACGTATGGTATTTTAACGAAATACCATGCATATCGTAATGCGATTTATGTCTCATCCAAGAGATATGCAGTTTTAAGGATAAAGTGAAGTAATTAAAGCATAAAAGTGACTCTTGATAATTGTTTTCTTAATTCTAGCATATTGGGAGACACACATCTGACATATTATTGCCACTGATGCCGGCCCTAGTGAAACAAATGAAACATGAGGAGAAAGAGCTTGTGGAGACGACTCGGACCATTGTCTGTATGATAAGCATACATGACTACAAATTACTGGAGGGACATCTGGAGGCTCTCGTGGAGTGGTACAAAGAAACGCAATCCGATCTTGCATTGAGTATGTACAGCTTTCACATCTCAGAAAACAATGATAAATTATCATTTTTAGCTCGCCTATTGTAGTCACTGGGGCATCGGCGTCCCACTTCACTGAGGTTTAAGGTTTTAGGCATGTTTTTCCAGAGAGTGTTGGATCATCACACTCAATACACTGTTGTCTATTTTAAGGTTGAGGCATTTATATGGAGTGTAAGAAATGTCCTGGACCGTATTTTCATATTTTAGGGGCCAAAAACAGCTTAATTGGACTTGGTTAAATTTTTTGAGGTTTGAGGTTAAAGTTTTTAGGCAAGTCTTTTTGTGAAGTGTAGGATCACCACCATCAATAGGCTGTTGACTATTATAAGGTTTAAGTAGTTATATGGAGTGTAAGCAATGTTCTGAACCATATTTTCATATTTAAAGGGGCCAAAACTGTTTAGTTGGACTTTGTTTAATTTTTTGGGCAAGCTTGCATGTGCAGTGTCGGATTGGTCACCCCCATCAATACACTGTTGACTATTTCATATTGTCAGGTCATCTCTCCTTTCGACATGTACTACATGTTAAGGTACAGCAAAACCTTGTCATATTGGCACCATTAAGAAATGCCGGCATTATAAAGGGGTTTGGCAATAAATTGAGGGACACATATAAAGGAGTTCTTAAGAAAAACATAATTAAGGGACCTAAAAATATGTTGGCCGTAAACGAGGTGGCAAATGAAATGATGGCCATTACTAAAAAGTATGTCAAGGTTTTACTGTACATGTGTTTCTATTAATATTTGCTATCTTACAACATATACCACCAATAAGCGAGCTATGCTGTTCTCCAACAGCTCTTTTTAACCCTGCCAACACTCAGGTAAACATGATACTATTGATCTATCTTTATATCTGGTAATCACTTTGTTGATTGATCTCTCTATAATACAGTAGGTTGTTAAGTCATCACTTAAAACGAAAATTGTACCGTTAGGTTTAAACTTGATGCTGACTTTATATGCTTGTTCACTACTTTGTCTTCTGTGATTCACCGATGCTGCCTTACGCTTCCTGATAACATTTTTCGTTAGATTAAACAATGATTCTTAGTAATACCAGGGCAAGAATAATCAATATGTTTTCATACATAATAACAAATCCACATGATAGAAAGTCACAGTTTTCAAATTGCAGCTTTTAACCAATCTATAGCCAGAATTTGGAAATTGGAACATCAGATCATATTTATGATCATGCATAACACACTTTTTTCATTTCTTTTCATTTTGGTGTACTTTTGTAGGAGGACTGTGGAAGCCCCTCGAGGAAAGTGATGGTTTTACAACTCCAGATTTTTACGTCGTTATGAAATCTATAGCGGAGGACACTAGCAATTCCAAAGCCTATTTACACGGAATGCTGTTAAAGTTAATGGCTGAAAGACAAGCTGAGGTAGGAAATATCAGGAGTATAATTTCCAATAGCTATGTCAAAGGGTAAATTTACTGTCAGAGGTCAAATCATCTATAACTACCTGTCACCATCAAATCAATATTACCTGATGTATTTTTCTTTTGATTTTCACCATTGTAGCTGTTCACTCAGGAACATGTTGACATGATGATTAGGAGGTTTCTAGATGAGAAGCTATCACAAGGCAATGTTTTAATGGCTCTTGGCGAAATAATGGCCATTAAACCCGAGATATTTGGAGACAACATGATCAAACACGTCCTACAGAATCCAAACTTAGATGTCGTGAATGCTTTTTCGGTCCACGTGATAGCTGTCAACTTGGGATTGAAGAAAAAGGTCTGTTCTTCCTCCTATTCTGATTTATTGGTATTCTGACATTTAAATGTATTGAATTTACACTCAAGGTATACGTGGATATATCAGCAATAAATAATTTCACTCTTGAAGTGTGTCGCAATTAATCATGGAAAACGTCTTTCTGTTAATCAAGAAGTGGGCACCCAATAGTAATAGTAGTCACGTTGTCTGTCTGTCCATCTTCATATCAAATTATTTTCGAGAAGACAACATAAGTTCAGATACTATGATTATTTTCAAACTTAACATGTATGATGAACATCATTATGAAAACAGCTTTCTGGTTTTTGTCACTATTACTGTAAATAGAAAAAATCATTATCATCGCTTGAGGGATTTTTGATGCATATCTATGAAATTTTCCACAAACAATGTGTGTTGATCATCATCAAAGAAACATCTCTACTATTGTTTTGAACTTATGACCCCCAAATACTTAGGTAATTGGTAATAAATTAATTATTCAAAGAGAATGAATCACACACACATATATATATATGGCAAATATTTATCATTGAAACTTTACATTTATATCCAAAATTATTCCTGTTTTTATTCATCCCTTCATGAATAAGGCATTTGGAAGGCAATCACAGAAATAACTATGTGTAACAATTTCGTGATTTATATTTCCCGAAAAATATTTTACAATGCCAACGGCAAAGCAAAGATGACTACATCAGCACCCCTATTTATTTTAATTAAAAAACACCACCTGTCTCTTTAGTGTATTATTTTCAAGTATTATTTTCTATTTCTCTATGCCCAAAGTCAGATATATGTAATTCCATCTTGATGGAAGAGTTGCTGAACCGTCATTTTCTATTGTTTCTTTTCTCAGGATGATTTTTTCACTTTGTAAATTTCACTACTAAGTAACACATGAATTAATTAACTGTCGTCATTTCAATTTACAGGATTTAGTTAACACCATTTTTGAAGAGCTTCTTGCCCTGGCAAAAAGTTGGTATAATCCAAATCATCAGATTTATCTGTTAGACTCTGTCCGCATTCTAGGGTCTAAATATGGTGTAGAAACACTTAGACCTCATCGAAAATACTTCGAAGAGTTGCAGAAATATGGAATGACTTCCCCTATCAAAGATACATCAGCTGCTATTGTAAACGCAATGGATGGAATCAGGTAATCAACTGAGTTGCTTTAAACTGTAAACAATTGGGACCCGTTTGTTCAGCGCCTGATAAGCTTATAACAAGACAAAGCAAATTTTAAAAATCTTATTTTCGAGAAGTATCTGGTATTTGCAATTTGTTTAGGTTTTGTCTTCAGGGAGTCAATCAAAAACCATAAGTATTTAATTTTAATAAAGAATTTCAGTAGTTTGTAAATATACTAGATCAAAGGTTTACCATATTATTGCGTTAAGTTTATTAGGTTTTATACAAACAAGGTCTAAATGTGGACTTTATATTGCAGCGATTGCAATTTGTTTTCTATTTTCCCAATTTTAATAGGCATTTTTTCACCTGAATTGATAGTCATTCATGAAGTAAGTTATATGGATTTTTTGTGAAATGAAAAGAATAGCTTGCAATAAGGTAGATTGGTTAAACTACCATTTGTAAATTTTAATAATCAGTCAATGCCGGATGGGAATACACAATAGAACAATAATGCACAAGATTTGAAATCTTTGTCAATAAACAACAGTGCAGTAAGGGCCACATATCAGTGAAAAGCGTTCCTTCTCTTTCAGTATGGAGGGTGTCATCACAGATGTTATACAAACAAAGAGGAAGGCCAAAGTCCTTGATGAGAAAGTCAAAAAGGCAGAAACAGAAGTTAGTGGAATGAAAACAACAGTTGTTAAACAAAGCAAAGACATCAAAGCTGCTGAGACTGGACTTAAAACCATTGAAAAAACGGTAGATGTTCAAGAGAGAGAAAAAACAGATTATGCAGATATTGCAAGGACACCAGAGGGAAAAGAAGAAGCACACCAACTGGAAGAAACACAAGCTTGTACTCAAAAGGTGTCGCTACCTAAATCTGGGGAGAAAAATAAAGATGAACAAGCAAAATGTCTAGAAGACGATGACGATGACGAAGAAGAAGAAGAGGAAGAAGATGATGAAGAAGAAGAAGAAGATGAAGAAGAAGAAAAAGAACCAGAAGAAGAGCTACCACCATCTTACAATTCGTTGTTTTCTCAAGCTTCAAGTACACAAACTACAACAAAAATGAAACCTTCACCCAAGTCCACGCCTCAATCAAGTAAGAAATCTTCACAACCTCCACCACCACCATATCCGTACCGCCATCTATATGTAGAGACTCCATCACAGCCTACCACAGAACCAGAACCAGAAAAGAAAAAAAAAACATCATCCGCATGTGTAATTGCTTGAGGCCTTTGTTCCTGGTTATAGAGGATAATTGAACAGATTTCTATTTGAAAAAAGTTTAAACTTCGCTAAACCTCCCCACGGAAAATGTTAAATTGTGTCGGGTGTTAGAAACAGAGTCTTAATATAGGTTGAATTTTTAATGCATATTTTGGTGAATTGTTCACTTGTTTGTCTCCATATCGTTTGCTACGTGTTTGTAAATACTACCAGAAAGACCTGGAGCATACTGTATACCAGGACATTTTCGCTGCAGTTTAATTTTCACCCTTCGTTATGACATTTAGAGTTATATATGTTTCTATAAGCTAGTTGTTGCACTTTGTTTACCTTTGTAGAACGCCTGACTATCTCTGGAGGGAGATGATACATGATGTCATTGCTCTTTATTTTGATGACTCCTTAGTTCGTCTAATTGTCCATAATTTTTGCGTTGTGTGTTGACGTTCAAGTTCAAGTTCTTTATTACTTTAAGTCGGTTGACTTATCAGTTATAACATATATACAGAACAATATGATACAAAGACAACATACAATATGATACACACACACACACACACACTTTGGAGAGTGAACACTAACCAGCAATCAGCTCAGATCTCCTTTTGTTTGCTTGTATTAAATACTTGCCAAGATTTCTAATGTCAGATACATTCTCACAAGTAAGTAGTTCAATTAATTTATAAATGCTTGTATGTCTTACATAATATTTCTGAATTAGTTTCAACCTTATATTAATATAGCAAGGACATTTTAAAATGAAATGGAACTCGTCCTCGACATCATTCAGGTCACATACTGTACACAATCTGTTTTGTCTATCAGTTCTATTATTTCTGCCACACTCAATATTTAACTTATGTGCAGACATTCGAATTTTACATATTTGTTTTAAATAATTTATATTTACAGGTTTTAATAAATAATACTGGCAACCAAAATTACACACATATTGATACAATGCTCCTGTAGGAGATGATTGAATTTTTTCAAAACATTCTTGTTTGAATATGTCACAAGGACATTCTTTTATAATATGAAAAGTGTTATTATTTAAACTGGAAGATTTCGAAGACCAATTCTGTATAATTCTTGTTTTATACTCATTAACCAAATGTCATTATTACAAAGCATATCATCATAGCATGACCTTAGAATACAATTTCCTACATTTCTCAGTTTTATCCAATATTTAGATATACATAATTTTCTAACTATTTGCATGGGGTATCTTCCAAGTTCATAATACACCATAACATTACTAGTTTTATTATGTAATCCTAATATTTGTTTGCAGAATCTCGCATGCAATCTTTCGATATCTGGTGCGGTATGGAAGCCCCAAATTTCTGCTCCATAACTTAAAACACTATTTACATGAGTATCAAAAGCAGACAATTGAGTTTCTATATTAAAATATTTTTTCTTACAAACATTTAATAATGCAAACAATGCTTTTCCCCCCTGGTCAGCAACTTGCTTTTGAGTTTGTCTAAATTTTCCATTAAAATTCAATAGTACACCCAGTTAATTGAATTGATCAACAACATCCAGTTTATTTCCTTCGTAAAACCATATTTCATTTCCCCTTAATCCCCCCATTTCTAAACACGACAATTTTAGTTTTCCCAGTATTTACAGTCAAATCCCATTTTTTTGTATAATTTGCAAGAGAGTCTAACGTTGTTTGCAAACCCTCTGGTGTTTCAGATATAAATACCATATCATCTGCATACATAAGTAAAAACATATTGATATCCTGTATTTCAATGGATGGACAATTATCTGATAAAAACTGCATTTCACAATCATTAACATATATGGCAAACAAAAGGGGTGATAATATTTCCTCCTGAAATAATCCGTTTTCAATATAAAAAAAAAATCAGAGAAAATACCATTATATTTAACACAACATTTCACACTTTTATATAATGATCTGATCACTTTAAGAATTTTACCTTCAACGCCTTCTTTTATCATTTTATACCATAAATTCTGCCTGTTAATAAAATCAAACGCTTTTGTATAATCTATAAAACAACAAGAGTGACGTTTTTTCTCTTTTAAAGTACGATTAGTTGAAGATTGTGAACCGAAAATGGGGTCTACAGTAGAAGAGTTTTTTCCTAAATCAAAATTGGGTTCTGTTACTTCATTATATTTCATTTCAAACGATACAAGTCTTTTATGATAGCAGTAACAAGTTTACCAGCACAACTTAACAAAGTGATACCTCTATAGTTGTCCGTGTTATTAATATCACCTTTTTTAAAAACAGGAACTATATTACCAAGTGACCACGATGACGGGGAAATAACCAGACTTGAATATTTTATTGAATAATAACAATAAACATGGCATTGAAATATATTTGCAGTTAATAAAATATTCATTAAAAATTCCATCTTGTCCACAAGCTTTGTTAGCTTTAAGATTTTTAATAGCAGCCAGAATCTCAATCTCTGTTATTTCTATACCTAGTGGTATATATTTCTCTTTTACTTTCTTCATTGTAAACAAAACGAAGTAAGTATTCATAACTCCGTCGTATTCTACGCATCCGTGTAATATCCCCGTCTATCCTTGCCTTGTATCAAATCCTTTGTATGCTTCTTTTTATTTTGTTTACTTAATAATTATTTATAAAATTAACATGCAAGTGATTACTGTATGGTTTTTGTGTACACTGTATAAACAAATGTTATCTTTTTTTACATTTTTATGTACTATTGTTTTCTTTTGTTAACGGTTTTTTGTTTTCACAAATAAGGTATCGGGATATTAAAATACTTTCTGTTTGTGACATAGCTCTATTTTCAACAAATGAATCTTGGTAAAGATGTTTTAATTTATATTTCATGTGTTTGAAGTAGATATTAATTTTAGAATTAATTACATATAATCACATTTTAGGATCTACGTCTGCAGTCCAGAAATTGGCGCTATCATAAAATGGCAGATTATTGACATATTTAAGCATACCTTGAATTCGAAAAGGCTACTTTGATACTATTATTTGTATATTTTGGCCAACCGCAGGGGAACGACATGAGGATAGTTTTTGAACAGGTCTGGAGTAGTAGGTGAAATACCTCCGGAAAGTAGCCCCTGTCTTAAAAATAATTTATCTTTTCGTATAATGTAAAGTAGTTTTTTTTACATGTTTTAGAATTCATATATGCAAGTCCTTGTTATGAGATCATTATGTTAGATCATATCTTAAATATGAGTTTTTTTAATCAAGTATAATGTGATGATATTTATCGTATTTATATCAATTAATATATCAATATATTTGTTGGATTTACACCTTTAAATGAATTATTTTCAAAAGCTATTAATGTTTTGCAATTTTTCACAAACTTGTATTTAAAGATATATTCAGTACTGAGTTGATTCAAGTAAAGTGCTAAATCGTCATTCAGGTAAGATCATAATGTGTTATCAATACACGAGTTCTCTGTGTGGGGACGTGACATTTCTTGGATTTGACCTAGATTTACATCGTGGGTGTCGTCGACGAAGAAGTAGAAGATGCTTACACTTCCAAAACACCGGGCCTTATTGTATTGTTTTTAATTTTGAGTTCGAGTTATGGTTTTGTTGACACCTCTTGTTATTCTTGTCCACTTTTTAAAATTACCTCCATGTATGATATATTTTTTCTTGAAATCTATTTCCAATTAAGGAGATCAAATGGTTGAGTATCGTAAAACAATTATCAAAGATATTTTCGTGATAATCATTAATTGAGTTGTTCTGTTTAGAAAGTACTCTGTCTTTCGCTTGATATAACTATTTTGGAGTAATTTACATTTGAGCTAGCTTGTGGTTTCAAAACTACAACGTAACATATACACGTTGAATGAGCCGCGAAAACCCCAACAATAAATACAGGGAGGTTTGTTTCTGAGGTTAAGTTTTTATCTATATTACACATGATAATATCTGTTTTATCATTTTATTATAAATGCAATGTGATACTTTATCACACGACAAGGTAATTATTACTTCTTTTTTAAATATTTATGTATAGCGGTTCTTTAGACCCAAACAGTAGTAATACTTTGGTACTGATATTAATGCTTAGGAGTATAATTCAACATAGTTTTTCTAAGGATTGTCATTCTGTGTTATTTTTATATAAATACATATTTTGATTCGAACTACTTGGCCATATTACTCCAGGAATGATGTGTATTTTTTACGTGTATTTTTGAAAAAATCAGATTTACATTTACAAAACGTTAGAAATTGTATACTTTTGTGCCATAATATATTTATATTATATTTCTTTTTGACATTCTAATGCATTGTTTATGTTATACTTTTACATTCCGTATTGTAATGCAAGCTTTTAGTAGTGTAGACTACTTATATATACATACATGTATATATATATTGCCTTAAGTGATAATGAACAGATGATGAAACATGTATATATGATTTATCGACAATGTTGTCTTGTCATGTGTCATGATAAGGTAAAGGATACCACAAATTTAAACTTTATTATTACCATTTCCACTATAACGAAAATTTGTGCAAGTGCTTTTTAAAAGTAGCATTCCTTAAAAATCGCGCTTTGCCATGCATTTTACAGAAGTATAGTTGTCCAAAGTTTGAATGTTTGAAATAGAAATAAAAACAATATTTGAAACTACAGGGTCATACCCGGTACGTTGCCATTGCAAACCCTATACTTTATCTATTCTGCCATCCAGGAATCTTTCTTACACTGCTTCAAAATGAGTATCCAATTAATAAACCGCAAAGTATATGGCTCTAAGCCAGAAAAAAATTCCTTTTGGTTGCTTTCTATTCTGTATAGAAGAAAAAATACTCGAAGTCAAAAATGTTTCAGAGGAAATCTTCTTCGTGATGAAAACTGATGCATTGGTACCCTTTACCTTAACATATTGTGAAATGTACATACAACGCTGTTTACCTCTTACAGAATTCATGACATGAAACTGTTAAAAACAGTTGTAGATGTACCGTAGATATTTACTCACTTTTCATAGTGTATGTGAAATATTTGTTCTAATCACACGTTAACTGCTGGATTTGTTGAAATTTACTTCATTATCAGTGACTTCGTACAGTTGATCAACTGTCTTTGTGACAGTTGTGGGACATACACCAAGTGCAGGTAGTGAACAGAATTATTTTTTTCTAACGCGATTCATGGAATGACCTCATGAATGTTAAAAAAAAATCATTACAAAATTTATATTTTTCAAAATTTCCCTATTCACGAAAAAATATCCGCCGCCACATTTTTTAAGGTGTAATTGCACATTGCTCATTTTCTGTATTTTATCAGCTGAAACATCAGGTGTCGAGTTCTAGTTTGATGATATCTAGGACCAAGAGTAGGACGTTGTTTACGGATGATATATATTTATATTGAAACATTGAAATTTCCATAAAAAAAACTTTATTTCTTATTTTATCATTTAGGAATGGCTATTTTGTTGAAATGTACTATTTAATTATGTGTGTTAAAAATATATTGAAAAAGTTTATCAAATATACTTTAATATTTGTTTGAGGGATATTATCTGTTTGTAATAATAATTTGTATACTCGTTAAGTTTGGAATTAAAACGAGAGAGTTATTAATGGTGTATCAATATACTACAAACCATATACATTGCACGTAGAAATAAAGATTTTTCGAACTTAACTGAGGTATTTTTGTGTTCTTAATAAAATATGCAAACGGACAATATTTTGTATTGTGACATGGTCTCGTTTCTTTTTCACACGGATATATATGAGTCAACTAGGTATTATTTCTCGCCTTATCTACCCAACTTAGCTGTGACATCTTCTTTCTACACTAATCAGCTGTGACATATTTCACATCTACCCTACCTAGCTTTGACGTTTCTCCTATGTATCCTACTTAGCTCCTATCCACCATATGTGGTTGTGACGTCTGATTAAATCCATTATCTGTGCGAAGGAATTATACTGTTGTAAGGTTTGGAAGAAACTTTTCAAATTCGAATGATAAACCACATGTACAGGTTTCAAGAAAAAGGACCTGCTGTATCCCAATGTATGATTGCATGAGGCGACTAATATACCCCGTTTTCTTCTGTTTCTTCTGTTCATGAGAATTTTAGGAAATTAAAATAGACTTGTTGTCCCGATAGCAATTCTTGAAGCCAATTATCTGTGTAAATTTCACAATATCTTCTTATCTGTTACGAGGACGCAAACAAATAGTGATAAACTTTAGATCTTTAGTGTACACTTACCTTACTACATAGCTTCCTGTATTGACAATCTGTTCTTCTCTTGTATTACGTTTCCTTTCAATTATGTTTCCATAACCATTCCCGTTGTAAGAATCAGTTGTTTCACCTCTGAGTATATGGAGTCTCTCTGGTCGATGTGAGATACTGTGAAAAGTGATTACATGTGTTTAGCCAGTAAAAAGCTGAATATGAAAAATGTACAAAAATAACAAAATACAAAGTGAGAAGAAATCATTCCACGGTCTATTGTTATGACCTTCAAAACAGGGTTAACATTCTAGGTATCCACATAAGCTCGTTATAAACTACTGAATCTAATCGTAAAAAAGTATCAGTGCTGAATGCCGTGGCATAAAAAATAAATAAATAAAAAGAGAGAAAACCGGAAGGAAATTTTCAAAACATACAATACTAACCTATTAAAACATACAATACTAATCTATTAAAACGTGCAAAATGCTTCAAAATGAATTTGAGTGACAACGATTATAACGTTATATTATCAGAATTTTTATTTTAAATATATAACAAAAACTAAGAATTTATATTGATAACAGAAAATGGGAATGAACCAACAGAAAAGGGGAGAATAATGTTAATTGCCAAGTACTCTTGTTTGAGTTACTGCCCTTTATCTTGAGGCTTTCATCAATGACAAACCACATGCCCTTGAATTTAGCCTTTTAAAGTAGTTTTCTCTTTTAAATAAATATTTATTTATTATTCATTATCTATACGTTTATTTATCATAATGGATAAACCCACATGCCTGTTTACAAACATACAGACAGGTGATAGTAACACTATCCTATATAATATTAACAAGAAAACACTAGATGAACAACCTAGATAAACCCCTGTAACGATTCTCACAACACATTCAATACTCATTAACGTAGTTATTTGACGTGTTTTCAAACGGTTTGGAATCAGCAGTTCTTTTACCACTTTTTATTTTTTTATTGTAACAGTCAGTAATTATTCTCACTTCATTCCGAGACTTACCATAAACTAAAGGTTGAAATAGGTGAATATTTACTTAGAACTCTGTTGATTATTTTACACCACAAGGTGGTTGACAGCTGGTGGACTATTAGTCCCCGAGGTTGGACATAGCCTTGTAAAATGAATTTATTCTGGCATGGTTAACAAGAAATACTTGCATAAATATTATCTAAAGCATCCAGAAAAGTGTTCAAATATGGTTATAATTAGGTTTATGTGCACCTTTTTCTTCTCGTTGTATTTCTGCAAATATTTTCGCATTTAGACATTGATTTTTACCCTTTAATGTTTTGAACTTATGTACATATTTTATCCCTAGTGAGTTCTACATGGAAGAATTCTAAATGGCTTTATGATGCAGTAAATGTTTACTATAGTTTTGATTACTATATAGACTTACTTAATGTTTAAATAGGTACATCCTTACTTTGTATTCCTATTGATTGCATTTTATTCCTGATCAAATCTGACGAGTGAGGTCATAACCGTTGCCACAGGTAGAGTAGGAAACGTTTACCTTGCCACACCTGACTTCGCCTTCAGTTTCTAAAGGTTCATGATGTCTCTCCTTTTGGTTTCGTTTGCTGGGTTCCTGTGTTTTTCCGACCGACTTTATCCATGTTTGTTGACGCGGTTGTAAATATTTTTTCTGTTTCACTCACAACCCTGTAACGATAACTAGAACTAACGAAAAACACATCCACATCTGCTTTGCTCAAGTTTATGATCGACTGACCAGTCTCAATCTTACTCGAAACACTCCAGCACGAATCTCAAAAACTTATTGATCATGAACATCGTTCGGTCTAGTATAAATATGAAAACTATCATATCTCCGTTCAAATAAAGCATGTTGACGGTAGTCTATGAAGCAAATATTATAATGATGATAACTTGTATATCAAATTTTATACTAGTCTTCGTGTTTTGTTTTATTTATATTTTTACCGTCACATGGACATTTAAAACAAATTAAATATAAACTAATAAGCAATTCGATTTTTTGTCATTTATTCATCTGATATGACATACAGATTTTCGGATACTGTGAGTTTTGTCCTGTTTCGGTGATGAAATATTCGTGCATTAGATGATATTTTACCTACTATAAGAGTAATGTATTCTTGATAATCTTGAACATATTAACACTTCCAAATGTTTATTATCATTATCTGTATTTCCTCAAAAATTGAAAATTACTGCATAAAATGAGGTACAATATAATATACACATTCCCACTATGATGACAAACAAAAGTAAAGTACGCCTAATCATGAACAAATTCGGACCAATACAATATTCGATAATACTGCCACACAATGTATCATGTCCTTATATAAACACACACATATATATGTAGACATAAGATTATCACTTAATTGTCGATAGTGTATGGTTTAATGCTTACTTCGCTAGATCTTCCAAAAGTGCCATGTCTTTTAAAAGCGCTACCAAGAAAAAGTATAAAAACTAGGATTACGAATACAAATTATGATGGTTGTATATCTTCATAATTCTATTGTCGGCTAACATTATTTATTATCTTCTTACCGTGTATCAGCCATTAACAGATTAGACATCTACAATACTTAGATATATAATAAAGAACATAAGTCATATCAGACCATTGTTGGAAGGATGATTTAACAGGATCAGAACACTTTGATCGCGACCTTTGAACAGTGATCTTCCTGTACATTGTTGTGTTAAAAGTAAATTAAAAACAATATATCCGAAATCTCACGCTTAAATCTTTAAAGCTCAATCGCATACACAAGGCGATAGCGATTTATAGTATTTGTTGTCGTTTAAGGCATTGGAGTAATTGCTGTAGTAAACAATTGTTATATCATTTGCAGCTGTTTTGTTTTTGTGTTAATGCCAAGCTCCCGAAAAGAAGATCCATGTAGATAAGTGTTCATGACTTACTTCAAAAATGTCAATATGCTTCAGCAATCGTTATAGTTCTTTTTTATTTAGTTCCACAATGCCATTAGGCTTTTCTCTCGAAATATAGATGACCGCGGTGCTGTGTACTTAATTGGGCACAGAACCAAATATTATCTAAGAAGAATTTTGTTTTATTTCAAACTGAAAAACCAAGATCAATGTGTTTTATGTTTTTTAATCAGTTGATAATATGTATTATATTCATATGCACGTATCCCTCTTGTATATATTATATAAGGACCATATCTTTTTCAAATGCATTTAGGTAATATGAGTAGTGACTTGTGACTTCATTTTTATTCAAATTAGCACTTATCTGCATTTTATATTGAGATCTCTATCTATAAATTAATGCAGCCATTTCATACAGTGCGTATTGATTTTTAACGCGATGATGTAGTAGTATGCTGGTACCTTCCACATGACTGGATAACGTCTGTTCCTATAAGGGGATTATAAAACCAACTCGTTAACGGTTGTATCTGGTTACGTTTCTGAATAGGGTCTATATATAAATTGTCATTATTTTTAAGAAGATTACTTAAAATGTGCATTAATGGATTAAAGTATCACGAATATAATTGGATATATTTCATAACTTGTGACATGACATCAGATAAGGCAAATCGAACATTCATTTCAAAGAAGGCCCCATCTCAATGTGTTCTAATGTAAGGGGAATTATCGATAATTAAAAAGAGGAATATAAAAATATGCTGATGGGGACTAACAGTGCAAAACTATTAACCAATTGCTTTTATATTCTTATGAATACAAGTTTTGATAATCTACCGTGAGGGAATTATCAATAATGCAACAAAGACCAAAGAAAAGAAAATATTAACGGTGCAAAACGTCTAGCTGATAGCTCATAATTTTTTTAGAAATCTGAATCAATACAGTGCCTGTTAAAGGAAAGATGACGTGATTTGATTTCATATTCAAATTTATTGACGATGTCACGTTGTCCTGGAATATAAATTATTAGAGAACTTGATATTGAATTAGAAATATCTTTTTCTTTTTGTTCAGTTTCATATTCTGATGTTAACTGCGTATCACAATCAGCTGGATTAATGTGTCTTGTGTGACAATTACCGACAAAGGCAGGGTTTTCTACCTGGAAAATTTTCGGTCGCCACGACCGTATTTCAGTATGTAATCTTAATTAAAAAAGATAGCTGAGCATTTGCAATGCCTCGGTTTTCACACTCCAAATCTAACCATCATTGTTAAATTTTTCCTGCCTGCATTGTCATTATTATAAAAAGAAATAAAAAAAAAATTCAGTTGCAGTCCATAGCATGAAAAGTTATTCCACAGATTTAATAGCATATAAAAATCAAGTCTTTGATATAATCAACAAACATAGCAAATGTGTTCATCGTGTTAGTGGGTTGATCTACATTTGGAAAGTATGTAATAATGATAGACAAAATTTGAAGATAGTGATATAAGCTAAGGTTTATCATTATTAGAATTAAAATCAATGTCGTCTAGGATGATAGACAAATGACGGGCAATATGAAACAGTAAAACAATATACAAGCCCAAAGTACTAGGACTGTGGTCTGCAAAATATTCAAAAGTGCGGGAAACCTCAAGGCTTTCTTTTTATCTTGACGATTCCGAAAGCAAATAGAATGCAAAGGTATATCTTAGTGAGTATTATTGCTAAAGAGAAGAGTTTTTGCATAGAAATTTTATTGGAATTTTTAGCATGATCCAAATAAAGAGTTCAATAGTACGTGTATACTGCTGGAGCGATTGCTCTTTTGTTAAATCAATTAACCTTGTTTAAGTAAGATTGTTGTGTCATACTATCTGAAATACGAGACTAGAGAATTAATTTAAGCCCCGTACTATGTCGCGAGCGATCTCTATCAGTCTAATTTGTTATTAAAACTATTCGTGGCATTCAGAGATTCTATCCAGGTACATACTATTCTTAGAGAAAACGAAAATAAATCGATTTGGATTCCGTGCTTTAGTTTAATGTGCTGTATGTACTTTTGAGGTGTGTCTACTGGTGTGGGGTAATTACATATTAAGTACCTTTACACATCATCAACAAAATGGTAATGTCTAGATATTTATAATGTCACATAATTCATTAACCGCTTATGAACCATTATTTATATGTTCCACAATCTATAGACAAATAACAACGAATAAAGACATATATACATACAAAGTACAAATAACTCTTTTAGACATACGATAATATGATTTGAACATGTATCAATCATATATAATTAAGTACACACAACAAGCGCACTGAATATTGATAATCAATTACAAACAATAAAGAAAGATTTATATATAATAATTAAGTCCATTCATTAAAGTATTAATTATATTATTAAAAACAAACGACAAAGTACTAGATGTCATTACAAACAAACAAAGTACGAGAAGTTTTATAATAACTAAGTTTAAACGACAAAGTACTTGATATTGTGATACCTATCGCCGTCTACCACAGGTTCACTTGTGGTAGGTGAAATGCGGATCCGCTAATTGGCACAACAAAGGGAAACAAACAACCAAAAAGGCGTATTTTAACAACTATGCATTTATTAACGCTTTTCCGTCACAATAACGAGTTGCGGGAACAGGATCCTATAGGACTCAAATATTCAATCCATTACATCATGAATTCTATCTGAAATAAGCTCAAGTCTTAATTAAGACAACAAACACACAAATGATTATGCATTTGATGTTACCTAAAAAAAACACACGAAAAATTCAGTCAGTGACTGAATAATAGTCATAATAATAATTCGAGGTTCTTATATACCGCTTTATCACAACTTAGTTCATAGGTCGCTTCAAAGCGGTTCACAGATTATTATCCGTGGTTATAGGGTCTTTGCAACCAGCCAATATATTTCTCAACTTCCTAGGGAGCATGCAGCCGGTACTACCGTTTCGGCGCTCACAGCTAGCATTCAACAATTCCAGCACTGTCCAACCACATACTCATGTACAGCTGATTAGACTGGAACAAGCGGTGTAAAGTATCTTGTTCAAAGATACAACACAGCGCCGTGACGTGACTCGAACCCGCAACCCTTTGATTACGAGCCCGGCGTCTTATGTACCACTAGACTACCGTGTCTCCTATATATCAATAAAGGCAATGATCAGGATGTGAACAACCGATTCCATTATGAAGACTGCCTACGAGTAATGCTGAAGGTAGCTTTCTCGCAGATATAACTTCATATCAGTGGCAATATATATTTTTACAGGCAATCAAGTCGCCAGCTGCATTTAAGAACTATCATATCTTGAGTATTTCATACCACGGAATAAGCCGAACCTGTAGCAATGCAATAACTTGTCAGTATTTATTTTTCTAAAATATCTTCCTTTCAACTTTTTATAATGCTGTTGGTTCTGTCTATCAAAATCAACGTTGTACCAATATGTGGATCCATATGACCTCCAAGTAAAGCGATCGTAGTAACATGAGAATGGAGAAATCGCCTTTTTGGAGTTCCACGTCACTGCAAGAGCTACAATGATCCCTATGACGACGGGTGCCGATATGGTAAGTATAGAGCAAGGGTACAGCAATGATGTAAGTACTATGTACCAGTTGGAATCGGTGACTCAGGGCAATCTTAATATGCCAAATGCCCCCATATAGTATAAGTTTGAAGAAATTATCTCTATATACCATCAGACTGACACATGCCTTATGAGTTAACTATTTGCATGGCTTCTTCTATTATATTGACAACTCTTTTGACGTCTCAATTGAGCACTTAAGTTGTTTTTATCACAATACCGGCTGTACTTCTTTGTAACATAACCTTGTATATATTTTGTGTGTATTGCAAAACAAATCTTTTCAACTATTGATTGGTTCACTTCATCTTCTTTAGAGCCCGTCCATAAAAACCGGAATGTGGTGTTCATAAAAGCAAGCATTATAACCTTGCGTTAAAAGCCTAAATAAAATAATAAGAATGCCACTTGTGTTAAGATGCAAGTGTTTATATTTTTATACTTATTCAAATATGCTTATGTAAAGATACAAAACCCGATGTTAAATACATATCCTCATGTTAAGATACATATTCTCATGTTAAAGTACATATACTTCTGTTAAGATACATGTGATTATGTTAAGATACGAATGATTGTGTTAAGATACATATTCTCATGTTAAGATACATATCCTTATGTTAAGATAATATGATTATGTTAAGTTATGTATGATTACATTAAGATACCTGCCCTTATGTTAATATACTTATGATTATGTTAACTTATTTACGATTACATTAAGATACCTGCCCTTATGTTAAGATACGTATGATTATGTTAAGTTATGTATGATTACATTCAGATACCTGCCCTTATGTTAAGATACGTATGCTTGTGTTAAAATATGTATAATTATATTAAGGATACATGTCCTTACTCTAAGACACATGTCCTTAAGTCACATGTCCTTATGTTAAGATACGTATATGTATGTTGCCATGCGGATGTTTCAGAATTTAATCTGAAAATGTATCTACAAATAGTTTGAAAATATGAACAATAAACAAGACATCTTTGGCATACCAATAGCCGATGTAAACCACATAAGTTACATTGCTTTGTGTTATCAGTTCAACTTAAACATGTTTTGTGTTATCAGTTAAACTTAAACATGCTTTGTTATATAACAACATTATATATATAATGATGACGTCACTAACAGATAAGTTCTACTCATACTGCCAATATTTACTGAAACGAGAGGCATTATATCGAGGTTTTACTGTATCATTTCGAGGCTCTTTCGAGTTTAATGTTTTTAAGAGTTAAACAAACATCCCAAAAATACTAGCTCAGTTAGAACTAGACGACAGCGTTAGTCATACATTGTGTTGGGTATGTATGTCAAGTATAAACATTAGATAATTTCCCCAAACATTGCAGTACAGTGGGAACTGTGTGCAGGTAGACCTGACTCCACAGACCAGCGATTGATCTATCTGTTTAAAAAGAGAATCCTTTATTCAGCACGACATGTTCAATTTACCTGTTCACCACTTTTGAATTCTTTGTATGTACCATTTGGTGAGATTTTACAAGTTAAATATCTTGGCAGGTGCCCAGGTATTTTTTCACCTGTGACGTGTCATGTGTGAATCTCCCGTACCTGAGGCTTTCTATGGTGTTTAGATTGATTAGCAGGGCTGGAGTAGCCGTAAAGTCAATAGTAACTATCTGGACGGAGGCGCGTTCGTTTTAAAATCTACCAAACCGAAGGGTTCTTATTGACGAAACTTCCTGGATCTCTGCTAGTAGTGTGTACACTGTTGGTGAAGGTGTTGGTCACTCATCCCAGTGTCCCGTCAACAGTAAAGGATGGCACCCTAACAACCGCGTCAATACAAATCTCACTATTGGTAAGTAGACTGTGTGTATTTTAAAGTGACGTTATCAACCCGGTGTAAAATGTTCTGTGGTTATTAGTCCAAACTATGTACACGGAAGGTAAATATATTTGAGGCATGCAATAACACTTTTAATTTCATGAAAATTTAATTCCACAAGTTAAAGAACCGAGAAAGGTGAGATGTGTAAAAAATGAATGTCAATATTTGTGAATTATCAAGATTAGAATGGTTTAAAGGACCTAAGTCAATGAGTTGGAAACACTTTATTAACGTGATTTTAATAACAGCAACGAGTAATCCCCCCCCCCCCCTCCACTTCAAGTTTATGTATTTTTCAAAGGTAAAGGTCATTTGTATTCCCCAGTAAATTGTGCGCCCTCACCGCAAACGATGTACATGTGAAACAGTATTGATTAATCACATGTTAAAACTATGTTATTACAGAATGACAATTCATATTCAACTAATCTAAATATTAGTATATATATATACTTTATATTAGTAAATGTATACTTTATATTAGTATATATATACTTTATATTAGTATAAATATACTTATATATTATTATATACTGTATATCACATTATATAACCCGTTGTTGATCTTCCATACAGAACAATATATATTAACCTATCATCAATTTGTCTATAAATGAGTCAGGGGCTGGTTGAGTAGTAAAGCAAATATGGATTTACATTTATTTTTCGTTTATATTCGTGTTAGATGTTGCTTTACCTGTGTTAATGAAGACCCCAGATCAAAGCTATGATACATACAGGTATTACAGCGACACGCAGGCAGGGAGGCTTTTCCATTCTCCATGTTACAGCTTTATTTGTGACTAAAACCCACATGCTGTTGATCATTTCAACAAATGTTGACTTTTTTGTTGTTGAATGAATTGAATCTTATATATGTTTGTCAAAACGAGAAGAATACATGATGTCATGCCGAGATGTTATCAGTATTTACTTGTAAGGTCGTGTCTGAGTTCCTTCTTTAAAAGGCGTTATGTATTCACCTGTATACAAAACATCATAGATATACATAAAAACATCACTTCACGTAATGCTATAAAGCTAAGTAAGACACAGCATACCTTTACACCTATTTCACAGGTAGGTTGATATTAACGGGCGATAGTTTACGTGTTTTGAAGGCCTCAATCATATATTTCTGCAGGTAAATATGAGTTAAAACTCCTTTTATGACGAACAGTCTTTGCATATCATCAAGGTCTAGTCAGATACACAAATGTAGTCTGAAGGTGTGGAGAGAATAATACCCACACATGACTGTCCGGGTTATTTATATAAGTACATGTATGTATGAACTTTATTGGGGAAAAAGAAGAAGAGCGAATCCAATATTTCACTATATAGATTATCCCAGTAAGTCCTCGGTCCTATACATCGACACGCGATGGGACATAGATTTGTGGTATACACTAAGTCTTGATAACCCTCCTCAGAATTTTGGCTATTATCATACGTAGACGTATCATATGGTCGTCAGAACTAACGTAGCTTTGCTTCAAATTATTTTGGATAACTTGTAAAAGTTACCATTTTATCGCGACGTCATACTCATAATGAGGTCATTATAAGAAGTGTACACTAACTACCAATAATTCCACCGTCCTGTATGTGGTGACTGTGTGTCGATTATGGGTAACAATCTATCAATAAGTCAATATGTTCTCTACTGCAATTAATTGATTTGGGTTGTGTTTAAACAATGCTGAAAAAGTTCAATACTTAAACAACAAAAACTGAAAACATTGTGCTGATATATAGATATTCCGCTAAGTCATGCTGTAAAAACCACATTGTATTGCACAGGATTATCAATTTACAAACTTGAATGTGTCCGAGTTGAAAAAGAATACCATCGTTACTTGACTTCATGAAACATCAAGTCACGGTTCATCTTGATGATTTTCGATCCAAATCATCCTTGCAACTGTTTTCGTATCGACTGAATTAGACAATGTAAGCATAGCAGTTAACACTTGCATAGCAACAGTAATTGGATTTCATAATTACACTGAAGTTGTATGTGACTATATGAACCTACCTAGGGAAATGTGGTTTACATTGCTATGAACAAGACAACTTGCTCACTTACCTGTAACAAGGGTTTGAACCACACGTATATTAACTTAATAATTGTTGTTAATAGAAATGAAAATTCAGTGTCATTTCGAAATTTTATCGACTTTTTTTATATCGGTCTGTCGTCGATAAAACGTAATACTGTTCGTTATGATCTTTGAAACATGTTATTGATACCACCTAGTGCATAAAGAATAGATCTTTCGATCCATGTGCGACATGTGTGTGAAAGTGACGATTTATTTCTAAAATATCAGTTTGAAGTGCGACCCGGGCGCGGGTCGCATATTTCCCGCATAGTATAGAGGACCGGAGTTCTGACGTTAATCGACGACAGACCGATTTAAAAAAGTCGATAAAACGTCAGAATAATTCGGACTATTCGAAATAGTGCTATCAAGCACTCCGCATCAAATAACAGTGACTACGGCTCATCAATAACTAATCATTTGCATTAATATGTATTCGCTGACGATGCATACGCATACGGCTATGCAACTACTGCAGAATCTATAATCGCGAAAATAATTCCAGGACTATTTTTCAAGTTTTCTCTCTTATATACGAGTATAGAAGATTTAGCAACCCAGCGGAAGTTCAGGGCTATAATTGATTCCGCGGAAAGATATTCATCTTCTTAATACCAACACTTCGAACACCTGTAATTCTGTAAAATGTATTATTACATGTGTTTTATAAGGGAAAGTGTTGCACGAAATTACTAAAACGGTTATGTCTTAATAGTGCCAATGGTTAATGTATGATTAAGCTTGATGATAATCTGTACCTGAATGCACCAGAAAGGCAGTTTATTTCTTCGACTTATAACTAAAGTAATTTTAGAATGTGATTCGGTAAATAATTACACATACACAATAAGATTACAAAAATCTGCCCATGGTATTATTAGATCTGTTTTGCCTAGAGAACGGGACTTTGCCCTATAACACCCCCTTAATTCAGTGTAACTGCTATGTTGGTGGACACACAACATGTATCCATGGCCCTGTGTCGGTGGTCGGGAACGTCACAGGCTCCACCTTTTGAATAGTCAATGATCTATACAATCGATCAGCCGATCACAAAAGTTTTACTGTCAATAGTGGTTTGTTTAAAGCATTATTCAACACCATAGGAGCTTTCATAACATTTCATCTAACTTTCCACTTACCTACGGTAAATACTATGATCTTTAAACAGGCACTGAAAGACACGAGAGACGCCTCTGAGAAAGACATTATATAAATAAATACCATCGATTTCTTAGTATGTTGAATTTTAAATATCATTTAACATTTGGTAACACCATTTCAAGAACTCCACTTCAGAGCACTACAAGAATGGTAGTACATTTTCCCCTAAAGCGATGCTCTTGCCTCACCGATTGATTGATAACAAACCATCTATGCTAAAGTTGTAGTTTTTTTTTCATTTCTGTATTTTATATAATGTTCAATACTCAAAGTAATATTTTATTACTACAAATATGTTATTTGCTGGCTGTACCGTTATACGCCTGACATATCTGTCATTATAGAATTGGCCTATGTGTGGAATAGAAAGTTAACGTTAGCATGTCTAATCGCTATTAATTGTTCGGAAAGTAAGAACTTTTCTTCAGACAATTGAAAAATAAACATACAAACAAGCAAAATAAAGAAAAAATAGCTTGTAGCAAATAACTCATTATTTTAATCTTACATTAATAAAACTGTCTTTTTCCCATTTGCACAACAGAATTGAGGGATTTTATAAATTATTTCCAACGAGTTTCCGTCATGTCAAGCTGAATTTTATGCAATCAAATGGGATAAAAATGAATTTTAAATATCGAAAAATAACTTTTAAAACAAATTTCGTCTGGTAAAAAGAAATACATAACCATTTTTGCCTCTCACCATGAATGTGTAAAGTCACATCATTGAAAAAAGGGTTCTGCTCAGCGTATTGGTGTATTGATCGATAACATTATATGGAAGTTGTAAAGCAAGTTTCAAAGTTTAGGAATATTTACCTCAGCTGAAATGGTAAACTCAATTCAATATTGGCCGAGACGAGGGGTACAATTAGCACATGGTATTCAAAGTGAGTGTTGCACAGGGCGTTCATCACAGAGCTAATGTGAGGCGAATTTACTTAGTCTAAATATGTCTTGAGAAGGAGTACATCCTTCAATCACAGAGGGGGACGGATAAGTCTATGTAAATAGTTACATTCCTACCTTTATTGATTTATTGCTCGTACAGGTAAGTAAAATAGACTTATCATATACATGTACAACGGTGGGCATAACTCACCGATACAGGTAAGTATAAGGTGATATAGACTTTCTATTCAGGTGATAAGATTGTCTATATTGAAACTTTAATGTTTGTCAAAACTACCACTTAAGACCGAACAGGTAGCGTTTGTGACAATGTGACTTTGATCGTGTTTACCTGTTTAGCGACCAACCAAACAAATATGGTGTGGCGTGTTCACATTTGTATTCCTTTATGGGAACCCAGCTCCTTTTCAGTTTAAAGTGGTAGAGTATTTATCTGCGTGAAATACAGGGTGAGAAATTTGCAGACGAAAAAAATATTCGAAGTTTTAAGGTTTCTGTATAAATCTATATATTATGCTTTATGTTTAAGTTACGTGAGAACCTTTAGGAAAATCTAGGCAACCGTCAAAACTGAAATCCTTATTTTACATAAACCTCTTGTCACCACGAAGTGTTTTAAGGGGAAAATTAAACAAATTATACCTGGAAAACCTGCTCTGACATTCATACCAATTTACCATCGGTTTCACAGAACAGATGGTTTCACATAGTAGTTACATCAGTAATACTGTACAGGCTTAGATTATTAAAACTTACAAACAACGTACATAACGTGTGGCGTGATGTTTAGTCTCATACGTGAAAGTCATTTACAGAAAACAATTATAATTTAAGGAGTATCACGTGTTTGTACGCAGTATACACATGATACCTGGTAGCTTAAAGCAGTAAGCTAATTAGAAAAGAGTTTTACACAGGTAACAAGGACATTATATACACAAAGGATGTCAATAAAATAACCTATAGTTGTATACGCTCCTTTTAATTTGAGAATCGACGTTATTACAAAATGTACGTTGAAAATATATTAAATCAAACTCATTAGATGCAGGTGAAGTTGAATGTTAAAAGCAGCTTTAGACATGACATGACGCATACTCTAGTATCTAACGACAAAAATCCGTTATGAAATATCGTCAAAGTTGGTGACATGGTACTACCTTTTTATACTGCACGAGTTAATTATATTCAATTGACCGTGTTTAAGCCTAGAATTACACTAATGGCAAACTCAACAAAGGGTCTTTTCTACCCGAAACAGTGTTTACATATTCGAATTAAAATGCCTGACTTCAAAATCGATGAAGCGGGGCACTTATGTTCATTAGTAATGAAAGTTTGTTTACGTTTTACTGTAGAAAACCGTGCCTGTTTTTAGAATGGCCCATTACAATGGTCTATCCAACCCCCCTAAATTATCGTTCGACATGGCAAATTTCACTAATTTCTGTTAATTGAATAACGCTAGAAGCTGTTCTCGAAGTATCCCTGCTTCTGTTGTAAACCATAAGCCGTCATATACTCGTACTTGTACAATCCCCAAGGCCCAAGCAATTGATTTTCAGACACTTGCAGAGTTGTCATGATCGCTAATACTGTATATCTTATATTAATATCTCTTCAATACAAGCCCGCGGCCGAAGCATATAAAGTATCTGATCTTTGACCTCTCGAATGCTTCGTGCGTGGAGATAAATTGTTTGCGAAGAAATTCGAGTCTTAACATGTCTCATGACTTTTCCTTGTAATACATTTACCTGTGTAGGTATTGACTAGACCTGTACAACGCCTTATGTATGTAATATTGGGCAATTAATGTGTGTGGAATCTCAGTTGTTCAGTTATACACTGCTAAACAATAGGACGTGCCGCGTATTGGCGCTCGTCAGTCTTTGGTAAAAGCAAGACAATTCGGGGATGACCTTTTGACGTGTATAAATGAGAGTAGAGAGATATATATTTGTGACATTAAATACCTGCCGATCTTCTGTTAATCCCGGCAAAATCATTTCTGTGATGGACTTGCATAAACATGACGACGAAAATAGCTCAGACACCAAAGAGTTGTCGATTTTCAATCCATCTGGATAATATTGAGCTGGGACAAAACCAATCATCTCTGGTGTGGATCTAATTTACTTATATCTAAAGCTTCTTATAGGTATCATATCTTTGTTAATGGTACTCACTATGTCAACTTTTACCTCTGACAACACACATAGATGAGAGAAGCGGCGTTGCAAGGCAAGTATTTAGTTTGTGGCTAGACAAATCGATGTTGCTGTTTATCTTTCCAGTATAAGGGGTAACTTCCAGGGCAACGTTCGATAGTTCCCTGTGGGCATTACAAATCGGCCGAGTCACATGTACGTAAAGCAGTTATATTTTATTAGGGAGGTGAAGCTCAGGCTTACAGGTACGTACAATGTTAACTTGCAATAGTCTTATCTATTTATTTACATTTTCGCAAATGCTTTCCTGCATTTCTGTAAAGTACCATTAACAGTGCTAGAGATTCTTTGGGGACAACCACCACAGGAAGGCACTGCTTCACGAAGCAACATTTATATTCTGTGGTCATCTTGTATTACTAAAGGATCATGCTCCATATTCCTCTGTTATATATTTCGTTTACTCGCATTGAATCGAAACCAATTCACTGCAGTGCTGCCTAACGGCTATTTAGCTTTTGTAAGCATACAGTTTAGGCTACCTACTGTGTAACGTGTAAGGTAAGTATATATTTTCTAGATTTTTTTATACGAAAAGTTCTAATTACCCACAAACCGGACACGTTGTAATGATACCCATGTGTGTATTTTGTAGACACAAAGGTAAGTATTAATTTTCTAAGATTTCTGATTCCAAAAGTCCAAATTACTGACACCATGTAATGATATTCATGTGTGCATTATGATGGTACAATGGTTAGTATTCAGTTTTCCTAGATTTTCTGATACGAAGCTATCCACACCTGGACGCTCTACAATGATCTTCATTTGTAGAATATGAAACAATATTAGTTCACCGTAATTAAATGATCTGTGGATCATCAATATGGTATCACTGGTAAGCATAAGTAATTAGCTAGATCCCCTTACAAGGTAAATCCTTATTATCCTGTTCGGGTACACTTCTAATTATCATGACGGTTGCAATATTTGTTGAGGAGTACATAGTATACTTACATACGATTCAGTTCATTATTGCAACACTTTCGCGAGAATATTCTATACAAGCACAGTGTGATACAGCGGTTACCATGCCTTTCTGTGAAAAAACACAATGTATTTAATTAATTTCTCAATTGATTGATAACATATTGGAATTCGCAAAGGGATTTACTATATTTGTTTGCAAGTAATTAATGTTTTAGTCTTCCGACAACTACGAATAATCAATTACATGTGTTGGTAAGAAATGCAATGTAAGTTTTACAGGTGTTTAATAACGTTGGGTTAGGGTTGACATTTAAATCAAGTAACCAATGATAAAATAAACTTCCGTTAACAAACACTTCAGTCTCTGTCCTAGTCAATTCGACGCCAGTTAATATCACTACAACTGAACAGAACTTATGTCTAAGTGTAGGATTCCCTATATAACGACATGCTGTCATACCTTCAGAGTGGTCAGACACCTGTGATTGTTCATTATGAAACAAGCTTCACGGCTTGGTTTTACTTTGGCATAATGTAAGCAAAGGTAATCCCAGTATTTATTAGTGTTAGTATCTATATATTTTTTCTCCGCGATCGAATCAGCAAATCCATTTTTTTTCCATCTGCAATTGGTTGCTTTAAAAGTTCCCCCGTTAACTGCTTATCAGATCAGGTAAGAATTTACGGGGAACCATGATAACTCCTTTCTGTATTGCAAATACAGTTTTAAATTTCAGATGACATAGTGCCATATTGTATACAGATGTGATGATGCTGTCCCATACATTCTGAAGACTATAAATTGTTACCGAATTCGTTCATTTCATCTACAAAACAATGAGCTATTAGATGTGATGTACAAATTGGCATAACAAGGATGAAACCAACTTATACGATCACATGCTAGTTCAAATAAAAAGAAGTTAAAACGATATTTTAAACAATAACGGGAAAATAGTGTGACCAAACTTTAGAAGGTAATCGTCTAGAAGTCCATAAACCCAATATCAATAGTTTTTATTATCTAAATTGGACGAAATTCCAATGAAGCTTGATAAAGTCATGATGGTGTCGTAAGATTTGTTTGTAATTTAAATGTCGAAATCTGAAACTCGAGCTTCACAGCAAGACTGATATACTTTTTTATTATTTGCAGTTGACGAAAAAAACACACGTCAATACACTGAGTGCGAAAGAACAATTCCAGAATCGTCGTAAATCACCACTGCCTTTCTCCACTATTTCACCGAGGGCTCCCGCTGTCATTTAAACGGAGTACAGTTTCAAACACGAAGGTTATTCCCGGATATAATATATGTGGCAATACACAAGTATTAGTCGTGTGTATTGAAAAACAATCTACGTGCCATATTGATAATTGAGGGTAAATTACAGCTTAAATAAAAGATATTTACCTTAGCGTTGTCAAATCATCGAGGTGGTATTGCGTACCTAGATCAACACGACAGAAGTGAACGATTGAAAACGACACCCCTTTCATGTGAAATTGACACTTTGTGGATATGAAGCGCTACAGCTGTGATACGCGTGTTTGGTCCCTGTCAAAAAAGACATAGGACTTGTTTGTTCTTCCGAGGATTTGTATTTGAAGTGCTTCTTGGAGTGTATTTGACCAACATAAAGGATTGACACATCAAGTTTTGCCCATATAACATAAGCTTGACGGATATATTCGATCATATAGAATGCAACCTGCAACATAAGTGCGTATTTCTTCAAGAAAACATTCTCAAAATGAAGACCAAACGATTTGGAAAGGCAAAACCTATTGCTCAGCTAACTGATATTATCAAGCTGGAGTATTTTCAGCAAGTTCGGTTCTTCATTGACCTTGGTATCGCAATAGAAAAGGCAGATGAAAATGGTCGCACACCAATTATGTTGTGTCCCTTTATGGAACCGGAAGTGTGGGGCACCGGTATTGCTCGTCTGCTCATAGAAAAGGGAGCTAGTTTGGAAAACTGTGACAAATATGGTATGACCCTGATGCACCTTGCTTGTATATACACGCGAATCGAACTCGCTAGAGTTTTTCTTAACGCAATAGATTTTGATTTAGTTGAACAAGACAAGTGGGGAAACACAGCACTTCACTATGCTGTCCGGAGCGGCAATTTGAATCTCGTAAAAGTTATAACACAGGCTCAATGGAAATACAAATTAGCTTTTGACAGAAAAAATCGCGAAGGACACACAGCACTTGACGAAGCCTACAGGCTGAAAATGAGAAAAATTGCAGAAACCATTGAGGCTGTTGAAAACCAGACACAAGCTGACGCAGACAATGAATCTTTGTCACAAATACCGTCATTGAATATTAGACTTTCTCGAGAATGTCTTCATTCTCGTACATATTCTGATTTTGGATCCGTATCGAGGCGTTCATTTCGAGCTCGCCCCAAAACGGCGTTCCTCCTTGCTCGTAGGGAATCTGCATCAAGTAGCAGCAGTGCTTCAAGTCTTTACGGTCAGGATCGAACTGTGATCAGTTACCGTAACTTTGTCAGACGCGAACTAGAACCAAATGAAAAAGACGACAAAATTATTCTACGCTGTGCTCCACTCACAGACTTCCGGAACAATCCGGAATATCTGTTCCACCTTGTAATGCCTGGCGTGCTTCCAGTCAATGGGAATCACGAATCCTTGAAATGTGTAAGGCCAAAATCGGCTTATTCTTCGAAACTGCATGATTCCTCTTATGGGCGGGACGGTCCTTATTTCAGCTGGAGAGTAGAATTCAAACGACTGTATCGTCACTACGAATACCAATGTACACCCTCATATAGGGACGGGATAAAAATACCCCCAGCGGATCTATCCTATCTTGATGCCCCACTTACGCCAGCACCATCAGAGGATCCGACCGAAGACGAAAAGGGCAGAAAAAGCAAAAGGTCCACAAGCTCCATGACTAAACAAAACACGGCAGAAACAGGGAGGCAACGAAAGCAATCACAGCAACAACAGGCTCAGATACAGCAGCAACAACAGTTACAACAACAGAAACAACAGGAGCAATCGAAGCGAAGAGCTTCGATAGTTCAGTCCGGAAAGCACTCATCCTCGTCAATGGACGGCTCCATGGGATCTAGTAGTGAGTCCATCAGCAGTGGAACTTCGACGAAAAAGGATGCAGTCCGAATGACGAATGGGAACGCATCCGGAAGTGACTCACACGGGAGACAAAGCCGAGTTGCACACTACAATTAATTTTGTTTGTAAAGATCAGGCAGACTACAAGTTTCTCAGAATGTGTATTTAAGCGAAAGGTTATAGATACAATATCTGTTAAGTTTTGTGAGTTTATGTTTCCGTAACGTAACAAAAATGTTAGTACATGATGTTAGAACATGATCTATGTTTGGCTTTAGCTAATTGTTGTGATCTGCCTTCAAAACGTGCTTGGTTCTACTTAAAGGTACTTGGACATTTATGTGAAAAGCCTGTTTGACAAGCAATTTATTTGACTCATCGTTGTTATATGCATAAACGGATTGTCAGCTGTTTATATTTACATGAGATGTTTCAATATTACATATATCTGTGATATCGTTTAACTTGTTGATACGTAACACGCTATCAGACCAAATATCGCTTAGCAGTGAATCAAAAGGTCTGAATGGACATTGTGTGTAACCTTGTAATCAGTCTTTGTTTATTTTTAAAGATTGTGTTAAGTTTTTGGCTGTTCTCCCACGAGAGAATTGGGTTATCGTATCTAAGGTGAAGTTTGGAAATATTCACGGATTGCAAATACATTTTGATTCGAGTTTTGTTTTATCATTGCAAGATTTATAAAGGATGCAAAGGAATATATTTATTGTTAAAATTGTTTTTCAATTTCTTCGTCCTGAAACATGCTAGTTCATGTTGAAAGTCATAATTAACTTGAATAAATATTTTTAAATAGATACAATCTCAACCGGTTAAAATTACACAGCGCTTTTTTGTACCACGATTTTCGACAGAAAATAATATCATTCGACAAATGCGAAATTTTCAATACAGATTAAAGATATAATTTAAGTAGTATCGGTGATTTAAACCCCAACAACTTAGCTATATTTCCTATGTTGACAACTGTGTGTAGATTGTGTAGGCTGTGTTTATTTATCCACGCTGTGATAAGCTTTCCGTACACAACGAGCCCCTGTTCTAACGTTGTGTGGGTACTTGAGATCTGCCTGGCATGTAAATAAACAACTTCAATCTTCCAGTTCTTATCTACCCAAACTGAAAGACGATAGCATACCATTTATGCACAAACGATAAATCAGTATGATTTTGAAGGGAAGTCAAAAGACAGACCTCAATTTCTTTTCTCACTTTAATTTCCTTCTAATATTTTTGTAATGTATAGCTTTGCATTTTTATTAAAAACATACTGTTGATATATCTAACTACTTTGTTTGAAAGGGAATGGAATATTTTAATAAATTTTATTTTATTTTAACATTAATTAACTTTGTGTTATTTTTATTCCTTTTTATTATTACAATAGTATTTAAAAAACGTCTGTGGATTCAATCTCCATATGCATGTAGCAATACACAACGCTGATTGGCTGATAAGCTGGTAGTATAATGTATAGTATATTAGCGCAGGAAGCATGAACATGAACAGCATTACATATGTATCACACCAAATTGATACTTAAATTCGATACGACAGAACAGCAGAAACAGCTAGACATCAAAACAAACGGAAAGATGAACAGCAGGAACTGCATGGAGAGCGACAAAAACAAACGAGAGAACAATAGCAGAAGGCGGGGAGCGACAAAAATAAACGAGACGACAATAGCAGAAGGCGGGGGGCGACAAAAACAAACGAGAGAACAATAGCAGAATGCGGGGAGCGACAAAAACAAACGAGAGAAAAAAAAAGCAGAAGGCGGGGAGCGACAAAAACAAACGATAGAACAATAGCGGAAGGCGGGGAGCGACAAAAAAAAACGAGACGACAATAGCAGAAGGCGGGGAGCGACAAAAACAAAAGAGAGAACAATAGCAGAAGGCGGGGAGCGACAAAAATAAACGAGACGACAATAGCAGAAGGCGGGGAGCGACAAAAACAAACGAGAGAAAAAAAAAGCAGAAGTCGGGGAGCGACAAAAACAAACGAGAGAACAATAGCGGAAGGCGGGGAGCGACAAAAATAAACGAGACGACAATAGCAGAAGGCGGGGAGCGACAAAAACAAACGAGAGAACAATAGCAGAAGGTGGGGAGCGACAAAAACAAACGAGAGATCAATAGCAGAAGGTGGGGAGCGACAAAAACAAACGAGAGAACAAGAGCGGAAGGCGGGGAGCGACAAAAATAAGCGAGACGACAATAGCAGAAGGCGGGGAGCAACAAAAACAAACGAGAGAACAATAGCAGTAGGCGGGGAGCGACAAAAACAAAAGAGAGAACAATAGCAGAAGGCGGGGAGAGACAAAAACAAACGAGAGAACAATAGCAGAAGGAGGGGAGCGACAAAAACAAACGAGAGAACAGAAGAAGAAGGCGGGTAGCTACAAAAACAAACGAGAGAACAATAGCAGAAGGTGGGGAGCTACAAAAACAAACGAGAGAACATAAGAAGAAGGCGGGGAGCGCCAAAAATAAACGAGACGACAATAGCCGAAGGCGGGGAGCGGCAAAAACAAACGAGAGAGCATAAGAAGAAGGCGGGGAGCAACAAAAACAAACGAGAGAACAATAGGGGAAGGCGGGGAGCGACAAAAATAAACGAGAGAACAATAGCAGAAGGAGGGGAGCGACAAAAACAAACGAGAGAACAGAAGAAGAAGGCGGGTAGCTACAAAAACAAACGAGAGAACAATAGCAGTAGGCGGGGAGCGACAAAAACAAAAGAGAGAACAATAGCAGAAGGCGGGGAGAGACAAAAACAAACGAGAGAACAAAAGCAGAAGGCGGGGAGCGACAAAAATAAACGAGACGACAATAGCCGAAGGCGGGGAGCGGCAAAAACAAACGAGAGAGCATAAGAACAAGGCGGGGAGCGACAAAAACAAAAGAGAGAACAATAGCAGAAGGCGGGGAGCTACAAAAACAAACGAGAGAACAATAGCAGAAGGAGGGGAGCGACAAAAACAAACGAGAGAAAAAAAAAGCAGAAGGCGGGGAGCGACAAAAAAAAACGAGACGACAATAGCAGAAGGCGGGGGGCGACAAAAACAAACGAGAGAACATAGGAAGAAGGCGGGGAGCGACAAAAATAGACGGAAAGAGTAATAGAAGAAAGAACCATAGCACAAAGTGGGGAGCGATAAATAAACGAAAAAAACAGCAGTATCAAGTGAGGAACCACAAAAATAAACAAAAATAACAATAGCAGGTACTAGTAAGATATCAAAACAAACGAAAATAACAATAGTAGGTACCAGTTAGACATCAAAACAAACAAAAATAACAATAACAGGTACCAGTTAGATATCAAAACAAACGAAAAGAATAACACCAGGAACAAGGAAGACATCGAAACCAAAGGAATAATATTTCTGAATAACTTCATCATAATCCTTCGTTTACAAACTTCGAACTATATATTGTTATTATTAATTATCGATAATATTAGGATCAAAACCATGTCAAATATGCCACAATAGACTTCGTCTCATATGCAGTTCCTTAAAATGTCTACAAAAATAGTCGTGTTTATAATCCGTTGTGTTCGTTATAAAACAAAAGACAGTTTCCGCTAGTTGGTGATAAAAACGTACAAAAGAACAGGTATAGCTAGTCGGTAACATTTGGAAGATTTACAGGTAGTTTGAATTTAATAAAAACTAATGTAACTATGCAACATTTATTACACATCCTATTAGATAAACCGCCATCGAATACTTTATTCACGTTTTGTTCTGATGTCATATTTTATTTTTCTTTGTTAACAGTTTCCAGAAGAAATTGTTGAAGCATTAAAGCAAACGGAAGTAACAATAGCTGGAACTGGGAATCCACCAAAACAGTTAGAACTTCAAAGACAAACGTACCACAAAAACACACAGGGAATTTCACATTTACAATTGTAAAATAGATACAGTATGCCAGAAATTAATCACATTGCATTATACTGCTGTTAAATCATTAAGACATGAAAACCAACGGTAAGACAACAGTGGAGACTGAGAACACACCGAAACAAGCACTAGAATAGGACACACCACAACATGTAACCCCACACTGAAGAAAAAGCTAACATGACAAAATATAACAATGTAAATTACTTGTATACAATTCAAAAAGTCTTCAGTATTTGGAATCACATGGTCTAACAAAGATTTGTCCGTATGTGAAAGGTACGCCTGAACAGGGGAACATGTAAATGAACTGGCGTGTACTTTATCATATCACGAATCCGTGTCCAGCATTTAATTCAATACAACTAAATATCGTTTAAGTTCATTACTATTGACACATTTGTGTAGCTTTGAAATAGTGCTTGTGAATATGGAAAGAAATACCATTATATTCCCCACTGAAACCAAGTGAAATGTCGGAAGTACTTGTATACCAAAACATTACGTAACCATTCTTGACTTAAACTTGCAGACATAATGATTTTCGATTTTAGTTAAAGTTGTGTCAATATTTGATTTAGATTGGTCTGTTATGACCGCCTACCGACTATAAGGTTAAGTCGACATCACAGCAAGGTTACATGGGGATATTGATTATAATGTATCAAACGAACAGCTCCTTACGCCTGTGTAATATCTTGAATATGTTGAAGTCGCGAGTACCAAAACACCTCTACTGGTACCATTTAATAGTACATTATCTATTATGACGCTATTTGTCACCGTTACATCCGTTATACCGCAGGTACGTTGGACGCGATCTGTATAAACCCCGAATAAATTCTCATTTTATTTATACCTATTTTTGCAACAGTATTTCATTCAATCCGACATAATTGAAACAAGCATATAACTTCAGAGAGATGAGAAAGAGCTTTAAAAAAACTTCCTTTTATGAATATTTAATTAATATCATGGCTTCGAGATCAGGAAAAGTTTCAGTCACCAAGTTGCAGCACTCCATTATGAAACTGGGTAATAATTAAACCACATTTCAGAGGTTTGAGGGTCCGCAAAATAAACAAACAAAAACAAAAACAAAGACAACATACGACAATAGACATATTTAGATAATAGGTTCACGTTTAAGAAAGAAAACATTCTAGGGACTTGATCTTGTTCTTCATTCACTTCAGAACGAGTAGACATTGGTCTGTTGAACAAAGTTTAATATAATCCCTTCCATTCATTAGTAAACAAATGGAACATTGTCTGTGGAACATAGTCTAACACTACCACATAGCTTCTACACTCTAAAAAAAAATGGACCAAGGTCTGTTGGCTTAAGTCTACCAGTACTATCTTTCTTACTATCTTCTCTACTACTGGATGGCGGATTCGGGACCTACGAGGAACAGTCGCCATATATAAGTCGCAGGCTTGTGGTTTTTCTTTCCTGTTCGCCTTTAAATGACAAAAGCTGGTAATTAGACGTAAAGCACACAAAAACTTACTCTCTCGACAGTAAATTAACTATGGTCTGTGGAACAAAGTTTACGACATCATCT